AGTAAGCAACATCATGATAAATGGAGAAAAGATTGAAGTTGTCAAGGATTTCATTTTACTTGGATCCACAATCAACACCCATGGAAGCATCAGTCAAGAAATCAAAAGATACATTGCATTGGGCAAATCTGCTGCAAAAGACTTCTTCAAAGTGTTAAAAAGCAAAGATGTTGCCTTGAAGATTAAGGTGTGCCTGACCCAAGCCGTGGTGTTTTCAGTCACCTCATATGCATGCGAAAGCTGGACGATGAATAAGGAAGACCAAATAAGGATCAACACCTTTGAATTATGGTATTGGTGGAGAATATTGAATACACCATGGACTGCCAAAAGAACGAACAGATCTGTCTTGGAAGAAGTACAGCCAGAATGCTCCTTAGAAGCAAAGATGGCAAGATTATGTCTCACATACTTTGGACATATTATCAGGAGAGATCAGCCCCTAGAGAAGGATATCATGCTTGGTAAAGTAGAGGGTCAGCACAAAAGAAGAAAACCCTTGATGAGCTGGATTGACACAGTGGCTGCAACAATGGGCTCAAGCATAACAACGACTGTGAGGATGGCACAGGACCAGCCAGTGTTTCATTCGGTTGTACATAGGGTCTCTGTGAGTCGGAGCCAACTTGACGGCACCTAACAACAACAACAGCAACTGTCTCTGAGTCTAAACAGACTTGTTTTAATATGAATATTTTAAGTCCTTTCAGTGTGCTTCCATTCTGTACATTAAGATAAATATTATGGAATAGCTATCTTGCAAGAACCCGTTTAGCTGTGTGCTGCCTTTCCTGGCACCTTCCTGGGACAGATTCTTGTCTTGTGCTGGCAGGAAAGGGCTGTTTGCACAGCTGGGTTGCTGAGAGCAGTTATGTAAACTTCTTAGCTCAAAACAGGCTGTTTTTGCAAGAAATAAATTATCTTAAAGTCACTGTGGTCCAGTGAATAAAAGTATTGGGCTGTGAATGACGAGATTGACATTTAGTCACACTTTTGCCTAATAACCTTTGATCAGTTGGTTCTCTGCTTATTCTGTCTCATATGTTGTGAAATGGGTGAGGTTTTACCTATCTCTTACCTAGTTGAAAATCTATTCTGGTTGAATAGAAGAAAGTCTAGTATTGCAGAAGTGGCAGACAAAGTTAGTGAGATTTCTAAGGGGCAGTAAGAGAAGGTGTTGCTGTTAGGTGCCGTCAAGTTTATTTGGATTCATAGCAACCCCAAGTGACACAGTGGAACTGCCCCATAGGGTTTTCTAGGCTGCAATCCTTACGGGAGCAGATGGCCAGATCTTTTGTCCCGCAGAGCCACTGGGTGGGTTCGAACAGCCAACCTTTTGGTTAGCAGCCCAGAGTTTAACCATTGTGCCAAAAGAGAATACAGGAAAGAGAAAATGAACATTTATCAAATATCAACCATGTTTTTTCAAATTTGATAGTCCTATGAGGTGGGTATTGTAACCTTTGTTTTATAGATGAGGAACCTGAGGCTTAGAGAAGCTACATTTCATGCCACAGGTCACACAGCTAATGAGAGGCAAGGATCTGAGCCTCAGTCAGTCTGACTACACACTCTGTGTTCTTTCTTTCTAGTGTGTCGTGCTGCTACAGAGAATTTGCCTAGTTTTTCTTTTAGAGAAAAGAGTCTTATAGAGACTAAGGAGTAAAGATAAGTCAAAATGAAAACTTGATCGCATGATTTAGGAAGCATGGATTATTTGACTGACTTTTAGTCAAATCCTAGAGGCAAGCAGAGTAGCGGGGGCACGGCTAGTGGAGTACAGGTTTCCCCTGAAAGTACAGCATTCCTATGAAACCTTTCATAAGTCGAAATTGCGTAAAGTGAAGAAGCAATTACCATTCATTTATATGGGAAAAATTTTTGAGCGTTCCCAGACCCAAAAAATAACCCACAGAATCATACCAAATAACACATAAAATCCTTATGAGCTCTTAGGCTTTTCTGATACCTTAGGACACATCTTGCTAATGGATGCACAGAATAAATCGAGATAAAGCACAGATGGTCACAGACAGAGTTCACAGCTGTGGTGGTTTGCTACTGCGATGCTGAGTGTAGTTCCTGGGGAAGGATCGTGGAGATGCCACCCTTGCTGCTGCCTCTTTTTAACGGCTTGCTGCAAAACAAACATTGAACACTATTTCCTGTTTTGCCAAAATGAAAATCTTTGGATTTCTTTCAGTTAGCAAAAATAGGTACTAACATAAGTCTTTAGTAAAAGCAAAGTGGTGCAAAGCGAACTTTCAAAAAGTGGGGGATATCTGTATATGCTAAAGATTAGCCACTGGTGTATGAGCTTAATGAGCTGCTTGGTTTTCTGTGCCTTATTCATTGGTGCCTCTGGCAGCTGACCTATCACCTCTTCTCTCTAGGGTAAAGCCCACAGCTTGAAGCCAAGCACAAAGGAGAAGCTGGCAGGCAGCCCCATTCGCTCTTCTGAAGATGTAAGCCAGCGGGTCTATCTCTACGAGGGGCTCCTAGGTGAGAAACAGACTGGGGTGGCCTCTTGCCTTGGAAGAAATCTGGGTTCAGCCACAGGATAGGGTAGCATTGACCCAGAATCCGTGTCTCATGTTAGGTGACATTTTTATATCTGAGGCAAGCAACATGCTGGGTCGGGAAAAAGCAGTGGGTGAAAACTAGAAGAGATTGGATTTTGGTATTAATCAACAGCCTCTGTCTTTCTGTCTTCCTTTCCTTCCTTTCTTGCTACCACGGTCCTTCCTGCTCACAAATTGGCAGGAAGGGACAAAGGATCCATGTGGGACCAGTTAGAGGATGCTGCTATGGAGACCTTTTCTATAAGTAACCAACTTTCTTTGTGTGCTTGTTCTTTCCTCCTCCTTGGGGGGGGACTGGGCCTCACTTGGAGGCAGCTGGGGCTGGTGGCAGGAATATTAGATGTAGGGTAGAGAGGTTTGGATTTCCTTTGCCCTAGAATTTGTAATGCCTCCCTTTTCTCTGGAGTTTACTCTTTATTTTGCTTCGGCAGCTATATTGTTTATGTGTTAAGTAAGCCCCTAAACCAAGTGTATTCTACACAGGCAAAGAGCGTTCTACTTTATGGGACCAAATGCAGTTCTGGGAAGATGCATTCTTAGATGCTGTGATGTTGGAGAGAGAAGGGATGGGTATGGACCAGGGTCCCCAGGAAATGATTGACAGGTATGGAGCATAGGAAACCCTTGAGAATATATAAATTCAACCTCCTCTCAGTTAGTTCTGTGATCCCATCTGACTTGTCTTGGGTTTTCTGCTTAGGTACCTGTCCCTGGGAGAACATGACCGGAAGCGCCTGGAGGATGATGAAGATCGCTTGCTGGCCACGCTTTTGCGCAATCTCATCTCTTACATGCTGCTGATGAAGGTAATACCAGTTTTGCTTATGCCCAACTGCTGTTCCTATTGTCTAAATTCTGGGGCAGTTAAGAAGCTGTCAGAGCATTTACTAAGGTCTCTTCGTGATTGAAAGTGGCCTCTCTCCTAGCTCACGCATAATCAATCCATTTATCTGAAACTACCAGGCTGTCTGGCTAAGGAATGTGTAAAGGTATTGATGATGCCATAAAAAACCGGAAAAAAGAATAGCAGCACAACTGAAAGAACGTAACTGATGTCACTGAATCTTGCATGTAGAAATTTTTGAAATGTTGTGTCTTTGGCTATGTATATTTTCACCAAAAAAAAAAAAAAAGTCAAGAAGGGAGAGTGTTGACATGTCATGGGGTTGTTAACCAATGTCATGAAACAATATGTGTACCGACTTTTTAATGAGAAACTATTTATTCTGTAAACCTTCACCTAAAGTACAATCAAAAAAAAAATTTAAAAAAACCAATCCTATTGCCCTCGAGTCAATTCTGATTTACAGTGAGCCTATAAGACAGAGTTGTTGTTGTTAAGTGCTGTCGAGTGGATTCCAGCTCACAGCAACCTTAGAACTGCCGAATAGGGTTTCCAAGGCTATAAATCTTTATGGGAGCAGACTGCCACATCTTTCTCCTGCAGAGCAGCTGGTGGGTTCAAACTGCTGACCTTTTGGTTAGCAGCTGAGGCTTAACCACTGTGCCACCAGGATGACTCCATACTATTTGTTTATTTTAAATTGTAAATTGTCTCCCTTTGCTAAGTAATTTTAGCAAATAGAGCTCTCCACAGAAAACAGTGAATTAAAATATTTTTTTTAAGTAACACATTCTAAAACCTTAGAAAGGAAGCTCAGAATTTACTTTTCAGCCCCAACCCTTTTTTAAAATTTTTGTTTACTTATTTGTTTTATTGTTGTGCTTTAGGTGAAAGTTTACAATTCAAGTTAGTCTTTCATACAAAAATTTATACTTACATTGTTATGTGATCCTAGTTGCTCTCCCACTCCTCCTTTCCTCCCCGGGTTTCCTGTGTCCATTCAACCAGCTCCTGGCCCTCTCTGCCTTCTCATTTTGCCTCCGGACTGGAGCTGCCCATTTAGTCTCATGTATCTACTTGAGCTAAGAAGCACACTCTTCACGAGTATCATTTTATGTTGCATAGTCCAGTCTAATCTTTGTCTGAAGAGCTGGCCTCGGGAATGGTTTTAGTTTTGTCAGCCCCAACCCTTTATCATACAGAATTTTCCATAGCTGAGTAAAAAGAACTACTCATTAAAAAAGTTGTGATAGGTTCTAGTTTGATTTGATTGTACTTAGTGATCTAGCTGTGGAAAAGGTATATTATCAGAAGAGTCTTGCTCTGGAAGGGAAACATATGTTTGGATTGGTGGGTAGAATAGAGAGAATTGTTTTGAGTATGAGCCCCTAGGTTTCTGCTCTTTCTGTTCTCCCCAGCTTCCCTGAATTTGAAGGGAGTAGTTGATGAGTTGCAGAGTATGCCCTACAGACCCTCTTGGTTTCTTTTGTTTTCTGTTGTACGGTTTACTCTGTTGAACTCCAGGGGTACTAGTTAACTTTAGTTGGGAAAAGATGATGACCCTTAACCCTAGGAAGGTATTTCACCTACACTTGAGCCCAGGGTGTCACTACTCACTGTTTCTGAATTATAGGGAGGAAGTGTCCCTTTAAGCCACAGTCTGCTTGAACCAGGACTGCTCGAAGAGCCGCTTGTCTGCAGAAGCCACCTAGGGACAGAGCTAGGGCTTTTCTTCCCAGCATGTTGGCAGAATACATTTTTTCCCATATTCAGTGATGTGGTCTTCCCTCAGACAGTAGGAAGCTTACTTGTACGTTCTCTTCTCTCTACCTCAGTTGAGAGCAGAGCCCACCCTTGTTAAGATCCTGTTTTGCCTTCCAGGTAAATAAGAATGACATTCGGAAGAAGGTGAGGCGCCTAATGGGAAAGTCCCACATTGGGCTTGTGTACAGCCAGCAAATCAATGAGGTGCTTGATCAGCTGGCAAACCTGGTAAGTACATCTGGATCATTCCTTAGATTCCCCTTCCACTGCACTTGTCAGCATCTCAGGATTGGACCTTCTGGCCAAGCTTCCCCACAGGTTATTTCTTGGCTTTTATCACTGTAGAATCCAGTTCACCCCCTCCCCTATTTTGAAAATGGAGCAATATAGTCTTTGACTCTGGATGAAGCTTTAGCCCTTGTTTTGTGATAGGATTCTCTGTACTAAAAACACCCTACTAGCAGCAGTTCTCAATGTGTGATCTGCGGACCCCTGAGAATCCACAAGGTAAAAACGGTTTTCGTAATAATGCGCAGATCTGATTTGCCTTTTTCACTGTGTTGACATTTGCACTGATGGTGGGTAAAACCATTGGCACCTCAACAATATCTAGGCAGTGGCACCAAACCATGCTAATAGCCATTGTATTCTTCACCCCCACACATCCTCAGCTTAAAAAAACAAACAAACAAAAGGCCAGTTTTACTTATGAATGTCCTTGATGAAACAGTTAAAATTCTGAATTTTATTAAATCTTGATCTTTGATTATACATCTTTTTTACGAAGCACGTCTTCTGCAAACCAAAGTATGATGATTGTTTCGGGGAAAAGCAATTTGCAGTAGTTAGAATTGCAAGGTGAACTAGTGGCTTTTTCATGGAGCATCATATTTACTTGAGAATAACTGACAAACCGGTTGTTCAGAGTTGGGTATTTGGCAGACACTTTCTCTAAAATTAATACAGTGAGCCTATCATTTCAAGGAAAACAACTGGCAGTGTTTTTTGCCAATGATAAGATTCAAGCTTTTAAGTTAAAAATTAGAATTTTATAAAACTTTTGAACTTCAAGCTTCCCAATATTTAAAGACTTCTCTAATGCTATTGATGATGATATTATGAATGTGGTTCTATTGTACTGTATAATAAAAGATGCCAACATTTGGAAGAGCTACATAAGTCAGTGAACCACTCTTTTCCAAATGACCAATGTATGATGTTACAAATTCAAGTACAGAGTAAAAGATCCACTCAAAATACGAGGTAGACCAATGGATTTTAATGAAACGGTATGAAAAGTTCATTGATGTGTTTTCAGATTCCACGTTGCAAGTAATATTCAGAAACTGCCACTTCTCGGTTGGTATAGTGTCAAGAGTATGTACATTTATCTGAAAAGGCAATTAAAACACTCCTCCCTCTTCTAAGCACACATCTGTGAGACCAGATATTCTTTAATACCTCAACCAAAGCATGCATTGTGACAGATTAAATGTAGAAATAGATCACTCTTTCTTCCCCCCTTTGGGGAAAGATAGTTCTTTTTCAAAAAATATGTTATTTGTGTTACCATGTGATAGATTTATTATTAAGAAATTAATTACTTTTCAATGAATTAGTAAGTACTTTTAAAATTTCTCAGTTCTAATTTCCAATGTGATAAACATCTGTAAATAGAACTTACATAAACCAAACCTCTTTGGAATCCTCAGTCATTTTTAATAGGTATAGAGGTCCTGAGACCAAACAGTTTGAGAAGACTTTCTTAGTGGTAGTGGCCAGCAAGTGAGACTGTGCTGACTAAGGAAGCAGATATGAATGTAACTGCTGAATAGGGGGTTCTTGGCCCAGAGTTCTCCATGAGAAGGATTTTCGGATGTCCCTAAAAGATCTCTCTTTCTTCAGAATGGACGTGATCTCTCTATCCGGTCCAGTGGCAGCCGGCACATGAAGAAGCAGACATTTGTGGTCCACGCAGGGACAGACACAAATGGAGATATCTTTTTCATGGAGGTGGGTGCTTATCAAGGATCCCTGGTGGTGCACCCAAAAGGTCAGCAGTTCAAACCCACCAGCCGCTCCCCGAGAGAAAGATGTGACAGTCTGCTTCCTTAAAGATTACAGCCTTGGAAACCCTGTGGGGCAGTTCTACTCTGTCCTGTAGGGTCACAGTATGAGTTGGAATAGACTTGACAGCAATGGGTTTGGTTTGGTTTTTGGTTAGGTGCTTATCCATGCTTGGGGCCCAGTGCAACATTTGAGAATCACAAAGAATTTCCAGAACTGATGCCAGAATGTTTTTCCCATTTATCTCACTCATGTTTCATGATCCATTTATCAGGCTTTTGTCAGGCTATTATACAAATAATTATATTAAGATGATAGATGATTCCCCACCATTTCTTTTTTTAAAAAATATATTTACTACAGTCACACTGCTCATAAATCAAAACAACATAACATGGTATATACATTGAGAAGTCTTGCTCTCATTCTTGTCCCCGTCCACTCCATTTCCCACCCACCTCACCCCCTTCCTCTGGGAAGTAACCACTTTTATTAGTTTCCTTTGTATTGTCCAGTGGTTTTTTTATGCAAACACAATAAAATATGAGCATAAGTTCTTATTTTTCCCCTTTCCTACAAAAACGCAGCAACCTATGTCCACTGATCTGTACCTTGCTTTTTTTATTAAACATCCTGGAGCTCTTCTATATCAGTACAAAAAGAGCTTTCTCATTCTTTTCACAGCTGCATAGTATTCCATAGTGTGGCTGTACCATACTTTATTTAACTGGTCAGTATATATGGATGCTTGGGCTGCTTTCAGAGCCCCGGGTGGTGCAATGGTTAATGTGCTCAGCTGCTAACTGAAAGTTGGAAGTTTGAGTCTACCCAGAGGCACCTCAGAAGAACTTCCAGTCTCTTGCTATTGCTAATGATGCGTCTATGAATGACACTATGCCTATATATGCAAGTATGTCTGTAAGAATTCCCAGAAGTAGGATTTCTGGGTCAAAGGATAGATGCAGTTGTCATTTTGATGGGTGTTAAGGATTGAATTGTGCCCCCTAGAAATATGTGTCAACTTGGCTAGGCCATAATTCCCAGTATTGTGTAGTTGTCTTCCGTTTTATAATCTGATGTAATTATCCTCCATTTTGTGAGGTGTTGTAAATCCTAGCCTCTGTGCCTATGGTGATGGTCCCATTTGGGAGTGAGTTGTCCATTATGTTAATGAGGCAGGATTAGGGGGGGATGTATCTTGAGTCACCACCTTACTAGAGGGTATGACTCAAGTCACCACCCTTACCACCCTTACTCAAGTCACACCCTTACTTGAGTCACATCTTTTATCTTACAAGAGATAAAAGGAGAGAGAAGCAGAGATAGGGACCTCAATACAATCAAGAAGAGATGGGAGCAGAACACATCATTTGGATCTGGGGTCCCTGCTCTAAGAATCTCCTAGAACCAGGAGACGCAGAGAGAGCTGTAATGCTGGAGATGGTACAAGAAGGTGAGAAGCAGTGGCAGCAGAAGTAGGAGACTGGCATGAGATAGTATGACCCGTGGATCAAGAGAGAGCTGAGTGCCTTTGGGCAAGAGGCTTCCTGGTGGAGTATGATGCCCCCAGGCACTTATCAGCGATGCTAAAGAGCTCTGTAACACTTGCCCGAGCAGGGCAGAGGCCGGACTGAGGGACTGAGGGCCAGAGAGAGGCCTGCCTGCAGACACAGCTGAGAAGAGGCTGTCTTGATCAACACAGACCTTCCTCCAGAGCAAACAGAGAGAGAAGGCCTTCCCTGTAAGCCAGCACCCCAAATTCAGACTTCTAGACTCCTAAACTGTGAGAAAATAAGTTTCTGTTTATTAAAGCCATCCACTTGTGATATTTCTGGTATAGGAGCACTAGATAACTAATACAGTGAGTATTGCCCACTTATCCTTCTTAGGGTTGTACCATTCTGCACTCCCGCCAGCAGTGTATAAGAGTGCCTGTTTCCCAACAGCCTTACCAACAGAATGTGTTGTTAAACTTTTGGATTTTGATAGGCGTGAAATCTGATAGAAGAAAATGGTATCTCAGTGTAGTTTTCAGTTTGCATTTTTCTTATGATAACTGAAGTTGTGCATCTTTTCATGTTTAAGGGCTATTTGTATTTTATCGTGAACTGTTCATATCCTTTGCCTGGTTTTCATTGAATTGTTGGTCTTTTACCCCCAATTTCTAGGAGTGCTTTATGATTAGGGAAGTTAGCCATTTGTCTGTGATATGAGTTGCCAATACATTTTTCTAATTTGTCATTTATCTTTTTTTTTTTTTAACTTTTATTATGGGAAATTTCACAATACATAAATGTCAAAAGAATGGTATAATGAAATCCCTTGTATCTACTACCCATAAACATGTGGGCAGTCTTGTTTCATCTGTACCTTCCTTTTTTCCCCTTCATTGGATTATTTTGAAGCAAATCCTAGACATTATGCCACTTCATAAATAAGCAGTTTACACTCAACTATTAACCTAAAGGTTAGCAGTTTGACTCCACCCAGCTGTGCCATGGAAAAAAGGCCTGGTGATCTGCTTTTGTAAAGATTACAGCCAAGAAAATCCTATGGAACAGTTCTACTCTGTAACACATGGGGTCACCATAAGTTGGAATTGACTCAATGGCAATAGGTTAGTTTATATACTTCTAATAGATAGGGATACCTTATAAAAAGTATAACCATAATACCATTATCATACCTTGAAATGACTAACAGTAATACCTTTACCTTATCTAATCTCCAGTCAGTGCTCAGATTTCCCTGAATGTCTCATAAATGTCTTTTTACAGTTGATTCTTTTGAATCACGATCGAAACAAGGTTTACATATTGGGTTTGATTGATATGACACTTAAGTATCTCAACACATACTAGTTCCTCTTTCCTTCTCTCTCTCTTTTTCCTTTGCCATTTATTTTGAGGAAAAAGTTGGGTCATTTGCACTGTGGAGTATCCCCACATTCTAGAATTTTTCTGATTGCATCTCCTTGGTGTTGTTTAACATGTTTCTTTATCATTTGTATTTCTTATAAACTAATAGTTCAACCTAGATGTTTGATCAGTTTTTGATTCAGTATTTCAGCAAGAATGCTTCATAAGTAGTGCTTCGTGCTTGCTGTTGCCTCATGTGGTCATCCCTTTTCCAGTGACCAGTTGGTTTAGATATGGGCAGCCTGATTTAGCCACTGTAAAAGTCCATTTCTCTTCTGATTTTGCTTATGGTGGTTTTTTGTTTGTTTGTTTTTTGCCATGTGCGAGTTTTTTATCTTTATGTAGTTGAATTGATCAATCTTTCATGGCTTCTGGATTTTGAATCAGGGTTAGAAAAAGCCTTCCTTACTCCAGAGTTGTAAAGGGGATTGGCCATGTGTCCTTCATTTCTGTGTTTTTAAATCTAAAGTGGATCTCTTCTAAGTAATTTTCAGGAGCCAAGTAAACCTCCTACAGAGGTTATAAAATAAAGTAATTTGTATAAGTTATCTGCTCCTCTTTGGTTCAGTTGGATTTTATTTTCACATTCACAGCTTATTAAACTGGTGATTTTATCAAACACAGGAGTTCTGCTCTGAAGCAGAAGCATACACGCTGATGCCACTGAGAAGGGAGTCATTTTCATGTCACCTGTTTGAAGTGTCAGAATCTGGCTAGGTGTCTCTCAGAACCCAGGGCTAACTTAGGACATCTGCACCACAGTAGAGGTGACGGGTGATTCTTGCCTTTTCCTTTTAAAAAATAAATCCCTCCAGAAGATCCTTCAAAGTATAGACTCACCACTGTACAAGGGAACCTCAAATTTAGTCTGTGGAGCATGGAGTTGGATCCATCCCCCTCATGGCTGTCTCACTTGCTAATGCCGTGCCAAATAAGAGTGTACCCAGGTCACAGTGTTATCAGCTGGCTACTGTGAGGACCAGGGCCTGACTTAGCCTTTCTGAGAGCAGAGCCTGCCTACGTGTGATCAGTTGAACAACAGTTTGAAGAGACTTTTTTAAATCGTCTTTCTTGCGCACCTCCCCTTTTGTTTTTAAATTACAGAAGTAAAACAGTATATTCTGTAAAAGTTTGAAACCATATAGAACAAACTAAAAAATATGTTTCTCTTCGCTCCCTCCCATCCCTTCAATTCTTTGTCTTAGAGGTAACCACTGTAAAAAAGTGTGTAAAATCCTTTCAGATTTTTATAAATGCATTTTTGTATAAAATGCATATATGTACAACTCTTTTGGAATTTTGTTTTATTGCTTACATAAGTGGTATCAAACTGCAAGTGTTGTATAATTTGGTTTTTTTCCCTTAATGGCATGGACATCTTTCCATGTCTGCATATTATGTAAATCTGTCTCTTTTAAATGACTGCTTAGCCACTATGTGTTATATGGATGTACCATGATTTATTTAACTAGCTCCTCCAACTGTTTTTTCCTTTAAAACAATATTTCGTTGAATATCCTTGAACATATATCTTTGCAAACTCATGAGCATTTCTGTAGAATAGACTCCTAGATGTCAAGTTTCCAGATCAAGCCTATATACATTTAAAATTTTTATAGATTCTGCCAAATTGCCATCCTGAAGACTATACCAGTTTATACTTCCACCAGCTACATAAGCAAGTCTGACGCATTATTACCATCATCTCTGTAGCCTAGAAATCATATGCTCTCCTAAATGTCTGCCCTTCTCGTTTACAGACTTTTTTAAAGGATTGTGGAAGGTGGAGTAGTGGTCTCCATTTTCCACATGGAGAATACTTTTTTGAAAGCCAGAGTCACACTGAGCTTAAAACTCAAATTTCCAATTCCTGCTCTGCTATTTGATTCTTCTCTTCATAAGGCTTTTAGAGCCCCAGTAAACTCTTAAGTAGTAGATTAAACCTGATAGTCTCATGTATTCTTTATTCATTCCCCTAGTATTTTTGGAGCATAAATTATATGCTAGGCACCCTCCTGGGTGCTGCAGTTACATCAGTGAACAAGACAGACGTGGTATCTGTTGTCCTTATATAGTTCGACAAGCCATGGGGAAGTCAGATAATTAAACAATGCAATAAAATATGATGAGTATTATAATCAGAGATGTTCAAGGGGCAGGTGTTATGGTAATACATAGCAGAAGGGTCTAGTCGTCATGGACAACTCCTTAGAAAAAGGGACCTTTGAGCCCAGACTTGAAGGAAGAGAAGGAGCTAACAGTTGGGGTAGGGGATAATGAATGAGACTCGATGATGGATGTAGTTAGAGGGAAAAGGAAGGAGTCATGCATAACTCCTGCATTTCTGGCTTGGGCAGCTGGATGAAGGTGATACTATTTAAGCATATAGGAGACTTAGAAGGAGGATCTTCCCAGAAAAGATATTGAGCTCAGTTTGGGACATGATGAGTTTGAAATGCTGCGTGTGACTTACCAGATAAAGAGAGGCTCAGGAGTTCAGGAAGAGAAGTCTAATATGGAGAAAGATTTGAGAGTCATCAACATGTTAATAACAATAATTATTATTGTATTTCTTATATCATAATTACATTGTCATTGTGTTACAGCAGCTAACAAGTGTACTTTCTGTGTCCCTGGTTTTTTTCTAAGAACTTTATGTATGTTAGCTCGTTTAGTCTTCACGATAACTCCATGAAGTTATCACTGTTAACTATTCTCATGTTGTGTCTCAAAGATAGTATAACTGGCTTAAGGTGACACAGCTAATTAATGGAAGAGTTGGAATTCAAACCCAGGCAGTCTGACCTTAGGCTTGTGCTCTTAACCATTGTGCGATGATGTCTGTCATAATAACAAGCTGTAAGAACCAAGAAGTTCACCTGAGGGAGACTGTTGAACAAGAAGAGGATGTGAAGGGAAACTTTGCTTTTTAATTTATATCATTCTGTATTGTATAATTTTTTTTTTGCAGTAAGCATTATTCATGTATCGCTATGTAATTAATTTTTTTAAAGATTTATACAGAAATAAGGCAGAGCATTGGTTGCATTTTTCTCTCCTTGATTAAGTCTACCATAATCCCCTGCATTTGTGTTTGTCAACACAGATGACCCCTCAGTTTGTAAGATGGAGGCATGAGATAGCCTCTGTGAGCAGAAGGCAGAGAACCTGACCCTGGGCCACTCCCAGGACCAGTTGTCCCATCCTTTTCCTGTGGGCAACAGTGTAGTGTGCGCTGGGGTGGGAGAGACTTATCTTAAGAGACAAGTTCCATTGAAAGTACTTTGTACACATTTCTAGGTATGCGACGACTGTGTGGTGTTACGTAGCAACATCGGGACAGTGTATGAGCGCTGGTGGTATGAGAAGCTCATAAATATGACCTACTGTCCCAAGACCAAAGTGTTGTGCTTGTGGCGTAGAAATGGCTCTGAGACCCAGCTCAACAAATTCTATACTAAGAAGGTACCCATGATCTCTGTTTGGGTTGGGCATAGGGTGGGCCTGGAGAGTAAAAGCTTCTTGCTGAGAAGTTAAGATTTCCCAATCCATGTCTGGAGACACATTTTTGCTTTCAGCTATTGTGTGAGATACCCAAGCTGTCTTTGAGGTCTGGGCATTGGCCCAAGCTTATAGAGCAGAGGGCAGGGGACTCTGGGAGGCTCGTATGACAGGGTGGCTCTTTCCCCCATGTGCCACAGTGTCGGGAGCTGTACTACTGTGTGAAGGATAGCATGGAGCGTGCAGCTGCCCGACAGCAGAGCATCAAACCCGGTGAGAGCCTCAGCCCCCAGAAGAGAACTGTTTCCTGAGAGAGTGTCTTTGTTTTCATTCATCTTGAGCGTCAGAGGTCTGACAAGGAAGCCAGGTCATAGAATTCCCTACCTCACTCGCTGATAACCTCTTCCCTCACCACAGGACCTGAACTAGGTGGCGAGTTCCCTGTGCAAGACATGAAGACTGGTGAGGGTGGCTTGCTGCAGGTCACCCTGGAAGGGATCAATCTCAAGTTCATGCACAACCAGGTAAGTGCAAGTGGCAGCACCAGGCTTCCTAGCCCTTTGTTCCATCTGTAATAAGGATCAGCGTCCAGGTCCCCAGTGCTATCCACTGAGTGTGAAGAGGGCTTCTGGGGCTAGTGAGAGAACTGGAGCAGCTGGACCAGAGAGAGAAGTCTGAGGGGAGGCACCTGGAAGGTGCAGCAGGGTGACTGCCGGGGGCTGGGGGAAGAGAGTGAAACTTGGAGGCTGTGTAGCCTCCGCCCGTTAGACTCAGCACAGTGTGAGTGGGAGCGTCTCACTTGGCCCTTCTTCGCACAGTGTCTCTGCCTTCCTTTATTCATTCCCAGGGTATGCTTTGGCTTGGTGGTTTTGCTTTGAGAGTCTAGACTGGCTGACCTCCTGGCGTCTTTCTGGTGTGTGTGAAGCTTCTGTGTGTGTGCGAGTAGCTTGTATCTGTCCTCTCTGGAGTGTGTGTGTGTTGGCCTTTTTCTTCTGCTGATTCTTCTTCCTATTCTTTTCCTTCTTTTGAGTGTTTCCACTCTGTCCCCTGCTCCACAGGCCCCATTCCCCTTCTTTTGATTGGGAAGCATTTCAGGATACATCTTTTCCTCATTGTGATTCCACCATAGGAGCTGACTTTTTTCTCTCTCTCTCTCTCTCGGTCTTTTAACACAGTGATACTTTTCCTCTCAGTGGACATTCCTTAAGCTAATTCCTTCCTTTCTGAGGCCAGCGCGTCATCTCAGGTCCGTTCACAGCTCTGACTCTTCACACAAGTGCCTTCCCCCGTCCCCAGTGCGCTGGCTCCTCTCCCTGAGGGCCTGAGCCAGGTCTGCACATGCGAAGCACCACAGCCCTGACCAGGCAGCAGATTCTCAGGGAGGTGAACTTCTGGACTCTGACCATGGCTTTCTCTCTCCACTTGCCATTTTGGTTCTCCTTCTTTGGGCATTTAGCTGGGCAGCCTTGGTGTAATGGGAGATAGCTGCCTAGGCTTCTTGGCAGCCCCTTAATATATTTTCAGTCTGAGCCTTAGGGTAGCAGGAAACCCCTAAAGACCTTCTGGTCCGCCCAAAGAGAAGTTTACATGAGTCCTTTTCTGGACCATGAGGGTGTTGGCACTTCTTGAGGAGTGGGCTTTTGAGCACATTTCAATGCTGTGGCCCCTCACCTTCCGAAGAAGGACCTTGTTAAAAAATACCCAGTGGCCCTGCCCTCTTCCCTGTGCCTTACCCGCCATATAGCCCCTTTGGACCCACTAAATTGTCTAACAGTTACAAAGCATGAACAAGCTAGTCTGAAGTCCAAAACTCTGCCCCCGAAAGATGTATCCTGCAGAGAGGGGGAGTCACACCTGACTTCTCTGTCATACCTCACAGTTTGATAATAAGATAATGGCTTTGCGGTCCCTCTTCTGCCACATAACAGTTAGGTGAAGCTGAGGAAGCATTGGACCCTTCCCTTGGAGTTATGCTGGCAAGGGGGCGGATTGGAAAAGCATGGACTTTGGAGTCAGGACGTACTTGGGTTTGAAGCCCAGTTTCATTATTCATGGGCAAATAAACTTTCTGATCCTCAGTTTCCTCGTCTGTAAAATGGGGGTACTATGCCGCATAGGTGTAAGGATTAGAAACAGTATCTGTAAAACTCCTAATAGGTGCTCAGTAAGTGGTAGCTGCTATTATTATCACCACATACTTCTTGGGAGACCCTGGATCCCGTTTCAAGGAAGATACCAACACCTCCCACCCCAAGGACAGTCTGAGGAGAGCTTTGCACCAGTGCCAGCCCTCTGCGCCGGAGGAGGATGCATGGAAGGGTAGAGACCTGATGGGCTGAGTGGGGGACCCCTAGGCACAGTGTTCTACAAGTTCTGCCCTGGGCAGAGGGTATGGGTGGGCAGCCCAGGCCAGCAGAGGGGCCTGCCGGTTGGGTTTGACCATTCAAACTAACGCCTTCATTTCTCTCCCATGCTTTCTCCTCCGGCCAGGAGCGGAAGGTACATGCCCTTTCTGCTATCTTCTCTTCTTAGCGCTTTTGAGTTGTGTGTGTGTGGATTCTTCTGTCCTCCCTTTGGGGACTAGGTTTTCTGCGTGTGGGTGGGACTGTAGCTGGGAGAGCGGGCTTTGTGGGGCAGGGGCAGAGCCTCTGGGCCTTACCCCACCCTCCCTCCCTCTCTTACAGGTTTTCATAGAGCTGAATCACATTAAAAAGTGCAATACAGTTCGAGGCGTCTTTGTCCTGGAGGAATTTGGTAATTACACTATTTTGCTCTTAGGTCTGGACTCACATGGCGGTAACTCAAACCTTGGAGCTCCAGAGGAGGGACTAGGGGCAGGGAGAAGAAGAGCCTCTAGAGAGAGGTCAAGAGGAACAGGAGTGACAGGGAAGAAAAGAGAACCTTGAGATGAGAGAAGGAAAGGAGGAAGAAAAGATAGTGGCTGCTGGGCAGCGGGTCGCAGAAGAGCCTGGGCCGGGTGAGAGTTTAGAGGTGGTGCCGAAGAGGCTCAGTGAACTCCGCACCCTCCCTTGCTTGGCTGGCCGGTGGTCAGAAAGTTCTGGGGCAGAGCACCCTGGCCATCCCCCAGCTCGGCTGTGTTCATGTCGCCTGCTGTGATCCCTCTAGCAGCCCAGTGCTCCGTCCAGCCACCCTGGCCCCTGCGCCGACCTGATCTCCGCCTCGCCGCTGTGCTTGAGGAGGAGCGTGTGGCGGTAACAGGCAGACTCGCTGTAGAGAAGAGAACCTAGTGGGCCTCAGAGTCAGAGGGTCAGGTGTAGCGGGCAGCTGGGGGCAGCCTCCCTGCGCCCCATGCTAAGGAGTGGTGTAGTGGGTTCTCACCCTGGGGCTTTGAGTTCCTGCTGTGTTTGTGCTTCATTCTCTTGTGCCCCTCATCGCTGCTATGAAAACCTTCGTTCTCCAGCAGGTAACGTGATCTTGGCTCATGCTGCCTCTCCCCAGGCCCCTGCAATGGGTGGGGCGGGGTCCCTCCAACCAAACCAGCTGCTCACACGGCCAATTTGTCTTCCTTTCTCTGCCCACCCTCTTCCTTCCCAATTCTGCCCACCCTTGTGCTGGCTCATCGGTTCAGTTTTCTCCCCTTGTGTGCTCCCCTCTCTCTTCCTGCCAGAGAGATATTTGGGGGACTTCTAAGTCAGGAGAAGGATTTGGGGCTTGTTGCTCTACCTGTGATCAGAGTTCATTCCCTATTAACCTTGGGTCCCCAGAATTTTACCTCCCAGGGTCAGAAGAAGGTGTGGCCAACTCTTGTCATTCCCTTCCGGACCCAGGGGGACGCCCGGCCCCTCTGCTCCCAGTCTCACAGGGCCATGATGATGGCTGAGCCTGGGGGCCTTACTCCTTCCTCTGGCCAAGCAGACCCCTGCATGGCTGGGGCAGAGGCGACTCTTAGTCTTGCATTCTGGGCTGTGGATATGTGTGTATTTTGCCTGATGCTCCCTGTCACCTCCCTCCTTGGGTGCTGTACTCGCCTGTCTCTTCTGCTCGGTGTGTCTGCTCCAGAGCCCTCTGACGCTCTCCCTCACACAGGCAGGCCTGGGCTGCTTCTGCCACTCAGGGAGGGAAGCTTACAGGTCAGATGGGTTTAGTATCATGTTACTTCTTCATCCAGCCTCGGGACCCTCTGTGCGAGGGCTGGGAGTAAATGGAACTGTGTGTAACATGACCAGAGTTGCGGGCTGGTGGCAGGGATAAGTTCACGGACGTCTTAGCAAGGTGAGGCACAGGCTAGAGACAACTCCTCCCATCCAAAATCTGGGCATCCCCCCTGCAGCTGCCCAGGGGTCCTGGATAGTAGCAGTGACGAGGCTGGTGAAGGGCTAGCTCTTCCCCTCCTGGGGCACTCAGGGAAAGTGGGTAGAATCATGACCATCAGAGAAGGAGCCACTGCTGGCTCAGAAGTCTAGCTGAGGACCTGGAGCAGTGTCCTCTCATCCAGCAGGGTCTGGACAGAAACCTCCCGTGGCCTCTGCCCTGTGATAGCCTAAGCTCCTGCAGCCACCGTAGAGGCCACAGAGGGGAAGGAAGGGGGCCTGGTGCCAGGCGCCGCCGCCTGGGGAGCATGGCGCTACCGCTCTTAGTTGTGAACTTTCTGTTTTGTCTCTTGCCCGTCCGGTTTTAGTTCCTGAAATTAAAGAAGTGGTGAGCCACAAGTACAAGACACCAATGGTGAGTATGCCACCCGGCCCTGGCAGGGCACAGTCTGCGCAGGGCTCCCCAGGGACCTCCGGACAGGAGCAGGGGCGGGCCGTCAGAAAGCACAGGGCTGAGTGGGATTAGGAATAGTTTGAGAGATGAATTTGGTCTACGTGCCAAAGATTCAACTGAAGCCAACACGAGCCTTCAGTCCTGGGAGAGAGAGATGCATCCTTATCCCCTCTCCCACTGGGGCTGCTTCTGATGCCTTGCTTGAGGCTTGTATTTAGCCCAGAGGCCTTCACCCAATGTTAGGGCAGGAGCTTCCCACTCGGCAGACCCTCCACACGTGAAGCGGTGTTGATCTCTCTGTCTTTCTCTCCCCTCTAGGCCCACGAGATCTGCTACTCCGTGTTGTGTCTCTTCTCATATGTGGCTGCAGTTCGTAGCAGTGAGGAAGATCTCAGAACTCCACCCCGGCCCGTCTCTAGCTGATGGAGAGGGATTAAGCAGCTGCCCCAGCCCAGGGGACACCCCCTGCCTCTTGCTCTTCCTAGTGCACAATGCTGCTGTGACTGAGAAGTGGATGATCTGTGTATGTCTCTGCAAGCCCTCGAGGGACTTAGTTGGTTCCCAGTTATGTGTCTCTTAAGTGTATCTTTGAGTGTGTCCATCACAGGGCTGAGCTAATCTCTTCCACTTTCTCCCTCTTCACTCCCACTGTCCCCTCAGGGCTCAAGAGTGTGTGTTTGTGTGTGCGCGCGCACGCGCCCCTGTTGGGCCAGTGGCTTCTAAGAACTCTGAGTGTTGACTAGTGTGAGTCCACTCTTGCATGTCCTTGAGACATTTGTGTTGTGTGTTCTTGTCTGTGTTCTTGGTGTTGTAACCTCCAGTGCGGGAGCCCAGCTCTGTCCTCTGATCCGGCACACCTGGGCGCCTGGAGCAGTTTCGCTCAGTGAGGGGTGAGGGAGACCCGAGGCCTGCCCTGCTGATAAGGTGGGTGGGGGAAGGGAGGGAAGAGTCAGGGGCAGCTGCATGAGCAGCAGTCTCCCTGCTTCCTTATGCATTTCCCAAGGTGGCAGCCGCTACCCCAGGGTCCTGAGCTATGCCGCTGCCTTCCATGACCTCTGTCACTGCAGTGAAGCAGCGTTGAGAGACGGCCTTTTTGTTGAGCAGCAACCTGCCTATGGTCTGCCTTGCCTCCAGCATGAGAGAGCAGAGTGCTTGGGGCTAGTAGAGTCCCAGGGACCACTGACTGCTGTGCCCAAGAATCAGGGAGGGGTGGGGAGAGGCCAGCTCAGTGCACGCGCCTGTGTCTGCAGGCACTGGGTGCTGGAAGGGAGAGATGGCCTGCGGGTGGGCAAGAGATGATTGTAAATATTTCTCCTCCACATTATTTATAGAAAATGTACAGCTGTGTGAATGTGAAATAAATGTCCTTCATTCCCCTTGGGCTTGCTGGCTCCCTTGCATTAAATGATGCTTCCTTTCAGCCCAGACCTGAGGAAGGCTGTCCCCGGACACTAAAACGGTACCTCAGGCTTGAAGTAAGGAGGGGACAAGGCTATGCACATCCAAGCTCTGGCACGCTGTAGCCCCAACCCCTGGTTCCCCCTCTTCTGGCTCATCGGGGCTCCTCACCACACTTCTGGGCTCCCAGGGAGGGGCTGTGGGAGGGAGCTTTTCTTCCATATGGTACCTTGGGGCCCCACAAAGGTCTGGTGTGCTGTAAATTGACCCCTAGAGGGAACAGCCAGACTAGGCATTGACACCTGAACAGTGACGTGGGTTAATTTATCAGTGAAGAAAAATCAAGGCCCGGGCACTCGCCCTTCCCTATACAGCTGTGGGCCAGAGAGATGTTGTGACTTGGCCAGGGCCCGGAATCTTGGCCAGAAGTGTCTAGAATCCTAGGAATTTTTTTTTTCTATGCCATGGAGAGACCCCCTGGTGCTCCATGGGCAGGAAAGACCTTCTAACAGCTCTCCCAGGGCACCTCTGAGTCCTGCTGGTACCCTCTCCCCAAAAGAAAAGCAGGAGCAAAGTAGGACCCTGATTCCCAGTATCTGGAGCTGGCAGGCTAGCTCACTTCCGCGTGGGACAAGGGTTGAGAGGCTGTGGGCTTGCTGCTCACGAGGACCCTGCAGCCACCCAGGTGCTGTGGCCATGGGCCACCGGGGGAGCCTCGGGTTGCTGGCTCTGTTGCTAATAGCTTCCTCAGTCCCATCTCCTCAGTTTCCTCATTTGAAGAGTGTGTGCCGTTGGGGAAGACTGAGGTTCCTTCTAAGTGTTGCTGTTGCATGAACTTAGGATTCCACTCTGAGCCTCATTTAACTCCTCTGTGAAACAGAATGCCTGCCCTCAGTTTGCTATGAAGATCAAGTAGATTTTCCTGTGCTTTTGTGAAAACAAGCACATTGGACAGAAGAGTCATTTCTCTGGGGAGTGATGGAGGCTGGAACCACAGACTGCACTGATCTTTTATTGTCCCTATGTATCGAGAAGACATAGCAGGCCAGATGGGCCCTATCCCCGACCATCATTTCCTGAGCCCACCCACCATTTGCCCCAAAGATCTGGGAGCGTCACCAGGAGCTCTGAGAGTTCAGTCTGTCAGGTCTCCCAGTGCTGTTGTAAATTCTGTACCCTACTGCCCTTCCCCACTCCAGCCCCAGGATACACACACACACCCCAACAGCACGAAGGTGGTTTTTCCAGCTTCCTCAAGGCTCCTGGCACGTAGGGCTGGCATTTGGTCGCGCCTGTGACACAAGTTCCCTTGTGAGTGAAGTGGACTGAAACTTTCCTCTCCAAGAGCCACCTGTACCCCTCATTTCTTGATGGCTGTCCTTGGACCAAGGGCCAGGGCGCAGCTGTGATTTGGGCCCTGGGTGTCAGGGTGGTATGGAGTACATACCTAGCCATCACTGGGCGGGGAGCCAGGCTGGTCACTGGGGCACTGCAGGAGAGAAAGAGGCCATGACACGTGTGCTGTACCTGCCAGCCCTGTGTGTTCTCCCAGCCTTCCGGGAGGCTGGGAGGAAGCTCCAGCTGTGAGCCCAGAAGCCAGCACCCGCCGGGACCTCACAGGTCAGTACTCTCAGCCGGAGCAGTTGCGTGGGCCAGGACAGCAGAGCAGAGGCCCAGAGTCCCAGCAGGTGCCCTGCTTCCCCTCCCCAGGCCCTGGCCCAGGGCTTCCTCACCTCGCACCTCCAGGCGGCACTGACACTGTGCCTTGCCTTGTAAGTTGGTGGCCCTGCAGACATAGATGCCCCCATCAAAGGGGCAGGGTTTCCGAATCTCCAGGGTCAACACACCCTGCTTGCAGAACATGCGGAAGCGGGCGTTTTTACCCAGGTCCAGGCCATTCTTGAACCAGGAAATTTTGGGCTATAAATCATGTAAAGGAAGAGAAACCATCTCAGGCTGCGAGGGGCCTGGCAGGACCCTAGGGGCATCTACTCCTGGGTCCCCCCACTGGAGTCCCCAAGGCTGGGAATAAACAGTGAATGCTGAGGCCCTATTTGGTGAGAGGTACCTGGCCCTGATAACCAGAGGTGGAGAGGAAGCGGGGGCGGGGAGGGGGCAGCGAGGACCGCTAGAGGTTAAAGCCTATGAGCCTTGCCTCGGTCTGGTCAGTAGTCTGGGTCCCCCTGCACCAGGGCCTGGAGTTCTCTACCTTGGGAGTACCCCGCACAGCACAGCAGAGAACAGCATTGTAGCCTGCGATGACCGAGCGGTTCACCAGGGGCCGGGTGAAGCGTGGGGCCTCAGAGAAGTCCAGGGCCTTGTAGCTGGGTGGCTTGTACGTTTTACCTGTTGGCGATAGGACTTTGTACTGAGGGCCACGCCAAGTTAGGCTGCCCTCTCTGCTCCTCCCAAGGTGGGGGTAGGGGTACAGCACCTGGTTTGGGGATGAAGATGGGCTCCTTAGTGGTGGCGGCTGTGTCACTAGGACCCACTATATTATGGCTGAAGACCCGGAAATAGTAGCCGTTGCCAATGATGAGCTCCGGCACCACACAGTGAGTGTGGCGGTAGTGCTCCAGGACGGTGAACCACTCCTGGACAGCGGGGGAGAGGAGGGTCTCAGGGAGTCAGGCCCCATTCCCTGCCAGGGCCTCCCTTGGGCACCCCTGGTGGCTCCACACCAACCATGGAGGGGACTGGGTCAGCAGAGGGAGGAGGGGTGGTGGGCTTATTCTAAGGGCAGGGAAGGGGCAGCGGGGGCCCAGGTCTGCCTGGACCTAGGGAGGCTGTGTGTGGAGCCCAGGACCCCAGGCTCACCATGGTCTTCTTGTCGGCTTTCTGCACTGTGTAACCTCGGAGCTCAGTGTTGCCATCATCTTGGGGTGGTTTCCACTCCAGAGCCACGTTGAAACCCCAAGCCTCCATGACCCTAATGTCCTGCGGAGGACTTGGCTTGTCTGCAAGGAGATGACCCATTTGGAACCACACACCTCCTGACCCTGCCTGAGTAAGAGCCAGGGTACTGGCCTGCCACCTTCTGCAGAGCTCTGAGAAGGGAGCCAAGGACGGGCAGATGGAAAGCTCTGGGCTGCGTTCCCAGGCATACCCCCCTGGGGCCTGGAGCTCAGCTCAGGGACTAGAAGCAAGTGGGGCTGAAGGCCCACTGCCACGCACCGACAATCTGCAGGACCAGCGTGGCCTTGTCCTCCATGTTCTCAATGCGCAAAGTCACCTGGTAGGTGCCTGAGTGGGTGCGGCGGGCGGCCCGGATGAACAGGATGGTGTCCGTGGGGCTGTTTCGGATGCTCACCTCATCGCCTGCCAGCGGCTGCCCCTCTTTGGTCCAGGTGACCTGAGGCCGGGGCCTGCCCTGGGGGAGGAACAGCTCAACCCTGAGCCTGGCTCCCTGAGAGCCCTGCACGTGTGGCTTGGCCTCAGGGCCCGACCGGCCTGGACACCCAGCCATCCACTTGATGCAGACAACACGCCATAGCCTCCCTCTGGGGACAGGGAAGGGGCCCTCGTACCTGGAAAGGAATAAGGAAGTTCACAGTCTCCCCAACCTTCCTCTGGATGGTCTGGCGCAGGTGCCTGGGCAGCTGGAGCCGTGGTCGCTCTGTGGGTACAGGGTAGTAGTTGGCTCAGCCACGGCTTACCACAGCCCCAGCCTTGCGGGAGCTCCCCAGTCTCCTTCCTCTCTTGAGGCACGGCCCAGAGGGCTACAACTGAGAAAAAAAAGCTGTCCGCCTCTTTTAACTTCCCCTAACCTACAGCAACTGGAGTCCCAAAAGATCTCCAGTTCCTGCTTCCACCTGAGCCTCACACCGCTGCAAGAGACAGGGATCAGGGAAGGTAAGCAACTTGAGGACGCATAACGAGTAAGCAACGGCCAGGATGCAAATCTAGTCTTTCAGACCCCCGTCTCATGCTGCTTCCACCCCAGCTTGCTGCCTGTTTCTGACTTTGAGAATCCTGTTGATCCTTTGTTGGGACAAGGAGTAGAGAAATGGGAAGCTGGTCTCAGATAGGCCAATGTGACCTTGGATGGCCTCACTGAGGACCTGGACAATACCTGCCTGTCAGAGCCAAGGGCCTCACAGAGCAGAGCTCTGAGATGATGGTGCGATGACCTACTCTTGCCCTGTTCCAGAACCTGGGGCCGATGGACAAAGCGAGAGCTCTCTGTGCCTGCTTGCCCTGAGCCTGGGTGTGGATGAAGCTCCACCCTTCTGCCCTGCCCAGTACTCAGCCCCATTCACTTGCGCCCCCCCTCCTCAAAGGGCTTGGTCTCAGTGACAGGTCCTGTGACTGTGCACAGGGGCAAGGGCAAGTGAGGGAGGCCCAGCCACCCACAGACACTCACGCAGAATCTCTTGCACCGTCACAGGCTCCTTGGTGACGACAGGGGCCCCAGGCCCTGCCATGTTGTGAGCCCGCACGCGGAAGAGCAGCCGGGCCCCTGTGGACAGGTCCTTCACCAACAATGATGTGCGCTCTATCAGCTCCTGCAGGGCAGGCACCCACTCTGAGCCTGGGAGTAGGGGCAGGAAAGCGAAGCTGAGGCAATGTCAGCAGTAATACACCACTCCTGCCACCCACCCTCTGATGGCTGTCTGGGGCCTCTGCTGAGGACAGGTGGCAGGTGCCTGGCCTGGGGGTGCTGGGAGGCGGAGGGGCAGTGCCCAGGTCCAGGAAGGGGCACTCACAGCCCTCCTGGCAGTACTCCACGCTGTAGCCATCCAGGCCGCCTGCTCCCACACGCTCTGGGGGCCGCCACTTGAGGGAGACTGTGGTATCAGTGACATCCTCCACAGCCAGGTGGGTGGGCTCGCTGGGGGGGCCTGGGCAGAGGGGAGGTCAGAGAGGGGCTGAGGGGGCCGGCACCAGTGGGGAAGCCATGACTCTCAACTGCCCACTGGTCACGGGACTTCCCTTCATCTGGCTTTCAAACATTAAGGAATATTTCCACGCCATTAAAAGGCATGTCTCTAGATCGGCTTGAAAACAAACAAAATCAACAACAATTATAAAAAAAGGATTTAAACAGCAAAAGACACCGAAGAGAACATACATATACTTAGAAGGAGCCACCTCTGTAGGTGTAAGAAATGCTATAAATGTGATCGCAAAAAACAAAAACTAGCCTAAAACATGGGCATTTCCTGGCTCTGGGTGATTACGGGAATTGACTAAGAGCTGAGCAAACCAGAAGTTGGTCCCTAAAAAGGGAGGGCAGACTCTTCTCCCCACAGGCACAACCCACTTCCTGCCACTCCCCATACTGTGCCCCTCTCTGGGCCCTCGGGGACCCCTGCCCCTCCACAGCCAGCCGCCCTAGACTCATACCCCCAGTAGGGACAGGTGTCCTCGAGAGCCTGGCCACACCCTCAGTGTCTATTCTACCCTCCCACACCATCATACAGATGAAGAAACCAAGTCTTCAGGGAGAGACGATGACTCCAAAAGGCCCTGCTGGGGAGCCACGGGGCCGGCTCTGCAAACCAGACGTCCACTCCTGGGCCAGACAATACCTGCAGATGTGCCAGCCACCCCCCAGGCACCCACCACCCTCGTCCCATCCTGTATATAGCAAACCCTGGGTTGAGAGAAGGGAAAAACAACGGGCAATTAACATTTATTGAGCACCTGCTGTATGCCAGCTGCTCTGCCTGCATTGTTGCATTTCATCCTACCAACAATTCTTCGAGGTAGATCCTGTCATTATCCCCATTTTGCAGATGTGGAAAGTGAGACTCGAGAGGTGAAGGGAATCAACCAGGGGTCAGGAGGGTGTGAGTCTCAGCTCCACGCCTTACAGCTGGGTGACCTTGAGCAAGTCGTTTGACTCTGAGCCTTGGTTTCCTCATATGTCTAATGAGGATGTATGCACCTCAGTTGGAGCCTGATTAACAGACGGATGTAATGCCCAGGGTGGTAGTGGCTGCCCACAGAGCAGTTGCTGTCATTGGGGCCCCTTGCCTGGGGAGTTGTGGGGGCAGTGCCAGGCAGGGCTTTCTCACCAATGGGCATGAAGGCCTGGGAGGCGGGGCTGGGCTTGGACATGCCAATGGTGTTGACTGCATAGACGCGCATCTCATACACCACACCCTCGATCATGCGCCGGGCCTCGTGGGTCAGCTCCCGCAGCAAGTCGAAATTCAACCGCATCCACCGGTAGCTCTTCTTCTTCTTGCGCTCCAGGATGTAGCCTGGTGGGGTGTAGGTGGGCACTCTGGTCTGGGGCCCAGGCACCCCTGTGCCCCCTGCCCTCGGCTCTGCCCCTCGTGCCCCGGAGCTCACCTAGGACTGGCTGTCCGCCATCGTAGGCAGGCGGCTCCCACTGCACCGTGCAGGAGTCCTCGCCCACGTTGCTGATCTTGGGGGCTGCAGGGGCATCTGGCACATCTGGGGAGGTGGACTCGCATCAGCCCCGCCAGGCCTCAGGCCTCTGACAATGCTGGCTCCTCCCGTCACCATCCCAACCAGCAGCTATAGGCTGCTCCCATCACCACAGAACCAAAGCCATCTTTCCAGAACGCAGTTCTGACCATGTCACCAGCCTGCAATCAACCCCCTGTTGTTGTTGTTGTCAGACATCATCAAGCAGATTCTCACTCATAGCAACCCCATCTGACAGAGTAGAACTACCCTATAGGGTTTCCAAGGCTGTAATCTTTATGGGAGCAGATTGCCAGGTCTTTCTCCCACAGAGCCACTGGTGAGTTTGAACCACCGACTTTTCGGTTAGCAGCTAAGCACTTAACCATTGCATCACCAGGCCTTCTTGTCAACCCCTATGGCCCATATTCACTGCCCCATTCACCCTCTCTCCTGGCCCCAATCCTCACCATCCCCCTGCCCAGGTCACTTACTCCAATCATTCATTATTCTCCACACCCAAAAACCCTGCCACACCTCCACACCTTTGCACACGCTGTTTCCTCTGCCTAGGGTCCTGCCCCACATCCTCCCAGCCTCCTGTAGGCCTCACCCTCCAAGGCACAGGGGTTGTTCTGTGCTCAGTGCTCCCAGGGCACTTGGGACACACCTCATGTCCAGCAGCATTACAGCAAATCTGCTAGATGTTTCTGCCTCCCTCTCCCCCTAGAACTGAGTGTCCTTAAGGGTAGAAAAACCTGTCCTATTCATTGCCTGGCTCAAAGAGGTGCCCCGGGATGCTTGTTGAATGACTACATGAGTGAATGGATGACTAAACAGCCTCCCTGGGGTTGCCCCTCTGTCTTCCCTGGCCAGCCTCACCGATGACCTTGACGGTGAGGTTGACCTGGTCCTCGCCCACAGGGTTCTTCACTGTGACGATGTAGACACCCTCATCTTCCTTCTCTGCCCCATCAACGATGAAGATGCTGCGGTCCTTGGTGGTCTCCACATGGACCCGGCCCTCGGTATCACACAGCAACTGAGGGGAGAGGGGAGAGCTGGGGAGACAGGGCCCAAGACAGACCTCAGAGGGCCCTGCAGCCTCTGCAACGGCCATCAGCCTTGAGATGGAAACAGAGCTCAGCCCAGGCTCCAGGGAGGGGGACAATGCAGCCCAATTGGAAAGTGCACCCATGTCAATAACTATTTCAAAAAACATGTAGGAGTTGGAATTGACTCGACGACAACGGGTTTTTTTTATACACAAAGTACCAGGCTAAGGGCCTCAAACTCTAACTCTAGCTTTGTCATGGAACTTTGAGTAATCACCTAGACTCTCTGTGCCTCAGTTTCCCCATCTGTCAAATGGGAAAGCAATCTCACAGAGCTGTTGTAAGGATCCAGGAAGACCTCAGGTGGACAGGCCTTCAGGAGGACTAACAGCTCCACGGAGGAGGAGAAGCAGACCTGGGTGCAGGCCCCAGGCAGTTATGCTCACTGTAAAGTGCTGCAGAAAAGTAGTTAAGAGGACACACAAAGTCAAGGTGAGCTCAGGAGGAAGGGAGCCAGGGAGGGGCCCAGTCATAGACGGCTTCCTGACAATGTCGAGGGCGTGAACACCCAAGGAATACACCTTCTCACTCCACCATGTACCTGACTGAGGTGTGAGAGCCCCATGGAGACCCTGCCTGGGGTGGGAACACACCCAGGATCCCTGGCCAGGTGTGAATCTACCTACCCCTCACTGAGGCACCTCTTAGGTGTGAGTACCTTCGTGGAGACCTTGCCCAAGGATGGAAACCAAAAGGGTAGAAAAGGACAAGTGAGCCATATCCCCACTTCAGCTTCACTCACCTTCTTGTCAAACACCCACTCTTCATTGGCATCTGCGTCCTCTGGGGCTTCAGGGGCTGGCCTAGCTGGGACCTTATTCCCCTGAGAAAAGAGCAGGAGGGCAGTTGGGGGAAGAGGGGTCGGAATCCCTGCCCATTGGCCCCTCACCTCTCCTTTGCCCCCTCCCTTACCACCTGCCACCAGCTGCTCACCTTGCCCCACCTCCCAGTCAGCTGAACGTCTGAACTCCCCATTCATGGCCAGCTGTAGTGTGGGCTACATGTACGTGTCAGGTAGCGTGGGGTATGGATCAGGCCCCAGAGCTCCTCTGGTCCCATGAACCCATTTTACAGATAGGAAGATGGAGGAGGAATCCACAGTACCTGTGTGAGGCTCTTCTGCCAGATCACGGTGGGAGCAGGGTCCCCAGAGATAGGCACGTCCAGACGCAGCCTGTTCCCAGCCACAACGATGATGGTATCCAGCTTGCGGCCTGGGCAGTCCAGGTGGATCTTAGGGGGTTCTGGGAAAGAGACAGCATAGGTCAGAGAAAGGTCCATGAAAGAGGGGGACCTGGAAGGAGCACAGGTCACTGGGGGGAGGGGTGGTGGGAGGGTTGGAGAAATAAACCCGTACCCCGGTTGTTGTCTTTTCAATCCGTTTTTCTGAGGTATAATTTACACACAATAAAATGCACAGATTTGTGTGTACAGCTTGAGGAGTTTTGACAAATGTACAAACTTGTGTAACCACCACCCAAATCAAGAGCTGGAACATTCCCATCACCCAAGGCATTTCTCTGGGAGGTTTGTAAGCAGTTTGCCTAACATAGCATTTCTCAAACTGTGTTTGGGGGAACACCAATGTCCTGCCAGAAAAAAAAACAAAAAACAAAAAAACGAGTTCTGTGGCCAAATAAGTTAGAAAACTCTGGGTTAAGCACAGCTCTTTACTGCAGGACTTTTCAGAGCCTTTAATACAATAATGTACTTTCTGAATTGCCAAGAGGTGGATCAAGAATTTAGAGTTTTCCAAACTTATTTTACTGTGGAACCCTTTTTAAATGGAGTATCGTATTAACTGAACCCAGCTTGGAAAGCACTGACCTACAGTATGCCTCAGCCTGGACTATTCTCCTGAAGTTAGGATTCCAAAATATCTGATTTTGGAGTTTAATCTAAAAGCAGGAGGGACACTTCCAAAAGGAGAAAAGATTTAACAATAAAATCTCATGTCTGTGATACCATTTGACAGCTCATACACTTCATCTTGTCATATCTCATTTCACAACCACCCTATGGAGGAGGGACTACTATTGTTGCTAGCTGCTGTAGAATCAGCCCCCGACTCTAGACGAACCCATGCACAAGGGAACAAAATGATGCCTGGTCCTGCACCTTCCCCATGATCAGTTGCAGATCAGACCACTGTCATCCACAGGGTTTTCACTGGCTGATTTTCAGAAGTAGATCGTCAGGGCTTTCTTCCTAGTTCATCTCTGTCTGGAGGCTCTGCTGAAACCTGTTCAGCATCATAGCAACTCGCAAACCTTCACTGACAGATGGGTGGCGGCTGCACATGAAGTGCACTGGCCGAGAATCGAACCAGAGTCTCCCGCATGGAAGGCGAGAATTCTACCACTGAGCGGACATATTAGGAGTCCCATTTTATAGATGGAGAAACTGAGGCTCAGAGAGATTATAGGTGGTCCATGGTCTGGTGAGTGGCAGAGATGGGGTTAGGCTTTGGAATAATCCCCACTCCCAGATCCTTTCTGTGCCCTCTGCCTGTAAGCTGGGGAGAAGACACAGGTGGAGTGGGGTTCTGGGAAGTGGGCAGAGCCGGGGCGGCACACGGGGGCCCTGCGACTCACCCTGCCTGGGCACGAAGTCGATCTTGACCTCTGCAAGAGAAGGAAGAGCAAACGGCATGGGAGAAAAGCAAGGCTCAGCAAGGGGTCCCTGGCCCTGCCGCCCCCAGCCCATCCCACCCACCCCGGCGCAGGCTCACCCATGAAGTGGAGCTTGGCCGAGAGGTTGCAGGCGAAGCCCTCGGGCACAAAGCTGTAGTCAGCCTCGTCCGCAGGTGTGACGTCGTCAATGGTCAGCTTGTGGACCCTGCAGGGCAGTGGTGGCTTAGGGGGACCTGTGGGCCGCACACTCCTGGTCCCCTAGACACCCCAGCCAGGGTTCCAGGGGACTCTCGCCTCTTCTTCCTAGCTCCTTGGTGTTCTGGTTCTTAAAATGCTTTTTTCTTTATTTGTTATTTCTCCCTCACGTGTTTTCAGAGGGAGGCAGTGTAGAAGGGATTTCTCCACCAACATCTCCCCTTGGCCGGGCACTTGGACACTGGGCAGGGGCTGGATCTCATTAATCTCTGTGAACTCGTGCCCAGCACGGGCCACCCAGATGCTCGGGAGATGAGTAAGAGAGTGGGAGGGAGAGCAGGCCCCTGGCCAGAGCTGGCCGCTGCCTCAGAGCCTCCCGCCCCACCCTGCCCTGGTCATGAACTAGGGGAGAGGCAGGGGGCCGAGGGTCTCCACCCTGCGTGTCTATCTCTCACTGCTCCATCTCTCTTTGTCTCTGTGCCTCTGTACCTCTGTCTGTCTCTGTATGTAACGGACTCTTCCTTCTCTGGGTCTATCTGTCTCTCCATATCTTTCTGTCTCTATCTCTGTCTGTCTCTATCTCAGTCTCTATGTGCGTGCTGTCTCTCTTCAAGTCTGCCTCTCTCTGTCCATCTTGTCCGTCTGTCTTTGTCTCCCCTCTCCTTCCTATCTATCTGTCTATCTCAGTCTATCTGTGTGTCTCTCTCTTCTTTATGTCTGCCTGTCTGTCTCTGTCAGTCTGTCTCTGTCCATCTCTGTTTCTGCCTGTTTCCTCCCCTCCCGTCTGTCTGTTTCTCCCTCTGCCTGTCTCTCTCTCAGTCTGTCTGCGTGTCTGTCTTTCTTTAGGTCTGCTTCTCTCTGTCTCTGTCCCTCAGTCTGTCTCTGTTTCTGTCTCCTCCCCTCCCGTCTGTCTCTCCCTCTGTCTGCCTCTCTCTGTGTATCTGTCCTCTCTTTATGTCTGCCTCTCTCTCCATCTCTGTCAGTCTGTCTCTGAGTTTCTCTCTGTCTCCTCCCCTCCCATCTGTCTGCTGCTCTCTGTCCCTCTATCTCAGTCTCCGCCTGTCCCATCCTCCTGCACCATCTGCGCCCGCTGACACTCACCGCCCGATGTGGGACACCTTGATGCGGCTGTCGGGCACTAGCTCCTTCCCGTTCTTCAGCCACACGCCCCGCACATTCTCGTCCGACACCTCACACTTGAACACGGCCTGGTCTTTTGCGCCCACCGTCAAGTCCGCGATGCTCTGGTACACCTCCAGCTTCTTCTCTGGGGACAGGGCACAGCCAGTGAGCTTGGGAGGGTGTGTGGGTGTGGGCGTGAATCCCTGCGGAGAACACGTGGGCTGTGGGTGCGGGGTGTGTGTATGTGTGTGGAAGTGCACATGTGCATGCAAGAGTGTGATGTGTGTGTGCAGTGATGGTGCAATGTGCATAAGGAACGCTGAATGTGCAAGGGGCCCATCTGACCCTCTCAACACCCTCTGGGATGTTCACCTCAATGTGCCCATTTTACAGATGAGAAAGGTAAGTCTCAGGGTGGCCAAGTGACTTGCCCAAGGTCGCACAGGCCTTGAACCCCGGTTTGCCTGAGCCCTGTACATGGCTAGGCAGAGTTGGGGGCTGATGGGTGTAGGGCCCTGTTATGGACTGAATTGTGTTCCCCCTCAAAATATGTGTTGGAATCCTAACCCCTGCACCACGTGGGAATAGGGTTTTGTTTATGTTAATGAGGCCATATCAGTGTAGGGTGTGTCCTAAGGCTAATTACTTCTGAGTAATAAAGCCTGCAGATTAAACCCAGGAACAAGTACAAACGGAGAAAGGTAGACACCACGTGAATATCCCCCGAGGAGCTGAGGAAAGACAGCTACAGACACTGAAAGAGACAAGGACCTTCCTCCAGAGCCAACAGAGAGAGAGAGAGAGCCTTCCCCTAGAGCCAGTGTCCTGAATTCAGACTTCCAGCCACCTAAACTGTGAGAAAATACATTTCTATCTTTAAAGCCGCTCACTTGTGGTATTTCTGTTACAGCAGCACTAGGTAGCTAACACCGGCCCTGGAGGCCCGTGTCCCCGTCCCGGCCTCACCCTGCACGATGAGCTCGGCCAGGGCCTGGCCCCCGCTGGTGCGCAGCGAATAGTGCCCAGAGTCCTCCAGAGTTGCCTCATTGATGATCAGGTGGTGCCTGCGCCCATCCTTCTTGAATCGGTATTTGAAGGTCTCCTCCCGGGTCAGCTCCACCCCGTCCTTCAGCCTGGCCGGGCGGAGGGGGGCAGCAAGTGCTGGCGGCCTCTCTAGGTGATCCCCCTGCCCCAAGGGGTGCTGCTCACCCCCACCCAGGCCTCTTGCACTCACCACTTCACCTGGGCCCCCTCCTCAGACACCTCACACTCAAACTCCACCCGCTGCCCCACCATCACCATCTGATCCTCCAGGGGGCGTGTGATCAGGACAGGGGGCTCTGTGGAGGCAAGGAGGGCTGTTTGGGCCTGGCTTCTCTGCGGCCCTCCCTAGCCCCCCACCAGGGTCCCGGGCCCCACCTTTGACGAACAGCTCTGTGCTGCACTTCTCGCCGCCCACCATGCACTGGTAGGCTGCATCGTCAGCCAGTGAGCACTGGCTGATGGTCAGTGTGCGCTTGTTGCCAATGGACTCAAAGATGTACCTGGCAGGGGCGGCAGGGGTGGCAGGAGAGTCATGGGCTTGCCTCCCGGGCCGAGGGTGCCCCCATTAAACCCCCTCCCCCATCAGGAGCCCCCTGCACCTCCCACTCCAACCTTCCAGGAGCCAGGACTTACTTGCTGTGGAAGAGAAGGGGTCATTGGAATGTTCCAGACGGGAGGAAGCAAGACAAAAAAACAGAGACCAAGAGAAACGAGAGAGGAATAGCCAGACCAAAACAGAAAGAAAGGAAGTTAGACACACACACAGAGAAATGGGGAAAGGTAGAGAGACGGGGACGAGAGATAGAGACAGAGACGCATATGGAGAGACACAGGTTGAGCAAGACTGTGAGGCGCAGCGTCTCCCCTGGGGGCCCTCCCTCCATCCCCCCAGCACCCCCAGCCCCCGCCCCACCGCCACCCTTGCCCCACCTGCCACTCATCTGGATCTCCTGTCCATTCTTAAGCCACTTGACCTCAGCGTCAGGGTCCGCCAGCTCCACCATCAGCCGGATCTTGTGGCCCTTGCTCACCTGGTAGGCCGGCTCCAGCTTCTTCTGAAAGGCTGACCGCATGCACCCCTCAGCCGCCCAGCCACTGGCTGCCACACCCTGCTCCCCCGGCCGGGCCAGGCCCTGAGGTCTCCCACCTCCAGGGCAGCTGAGGCAGTGGCCTAGGTCCTCCATCCAGCCGCCTGTGCCTTCCTGCCTCCCTCGGTGCGTCTCTCTGTGTCCCCATTGTCTGTTCTGTGTATCTTGTCCTCCTTCTCTCTCTGGGTGTGTGTTTGCTCTCCTGTCTGTCTTCCTTGGGGCCCTTTCCACCTGCTCAGCTCACTTGGTGGCAGGGATAGAGCTGGGGACTTCTCAGCCTTGTCAGGGAAGGGGGCTTTTCGACCCCAGACCCTCCCCATGGCAATGCCTCCCCTGACTGCTGTGTACTCCTCAGGGGCCCCGTCACTCAGCGGTTGTAAAGCTCCCCTCACTCAGAAGTCTAGCAGTGGCTGCTGAGCCGGGGGCTCCATCTACCACCAGAGAAGGTTCCCACGTCCGCAAACACTCTGGGCCTGGAGCAGTAGGCGGGGCAGAGATCTTCTGACTGGCTTCAGATCCTGCTGTTTGCTGCTCTGTGACCTGAGCTCGTTCCTTAACAAACCTCTCTGTGCCTCAGTTTCCTCGTTTGTAAAATGGAGATAATACTAGTCCCTCTATCATAGCGTAGTTGCAAGAATTCAACGAGACAATTATATAAAGCACTAAGTGCCTTCTTGTTGGGTGCTATTGCATTGATTCCAACTCATAGTGACCCCATGTGACAGAGTAGACCTGCCTTATAGCGTTTCCTAGGCTATAATCTTTACGGAAGCAGACCACCAGGTCTTTCTCCTGCAGAGCCACTGGGTAGGTTTGAACCACCAACGTTTAGGTTAGCAGCTGAGCGCTTAACCGTTGTGCCACCTAGCTCTTAGTAACGAACTCTTTTTTACTGTTATTACTCTTGCAACTCCTACAACAAGAGGTCCCTGGCCTGAGGGCTCCCGTCTGCCCCACTAGCCTCCACTGCTCTCAGCCAGCTCCCCTCTAGGCCCAACAGTTCAGGGGGCTTCCCTGAACCAGGTGCCCCCATGGTGGCTGGGTTAACACTTGTGGCCTCTAGCGGATTTCTGATTTAAAGTGGGGGACACGTGTGCAGATCGAGGCAGTGTTGTGGACAGAAGTGCCACCTCCACAGAGGCCACCCATTGGCCAGCAATGGGGAGCAGCGTGAGGCCAAGTTCCATAATTGGGCAAGAGGGCTGGGGGCCTTGGGGAGATGGCATTGAGGGCCTGACTCGCTCTTCTCTCGTTCTTCATGTGTAAGTATCCGTGTGTACGTTTTGGGAGGGGCTCATCTGCGCCCCCATTTTCCACTCCCTCTGTGGGGAAGCTGACCGGCTCATGCAGTCAGCGGTTACTTACTGCGAGTCCCTGTGTGCCAGGTGCTGTGCTAGGCTCTGCGGATGGCAGTGAGCAAGCAGGCAAGGCTTTCCCTGACTCATTTCCTATGGAGCTGATGTCCATGTGCCCTTGTCAACCCCTTGTTGGGAAGGGCTAGCCTGAGCCCACCTCCTTCGATCTGCTTGGGGTGGGGATTAACCTGCGTCCTCCTGCTTGTTTGTGTTTGCTTTGCTTTGCTTTGTTTGCCTGTGAGGACCATTAACCAAGCTCTCTTTTCCCATGTGTGTTCTCTGGCCTATGGTGACCTCCTCCCTTTTTCTTTGGGGGTGAAGAGGGCTAACTGGGGCCTCTTTTCCTTTTAGAGGGGGATGGAGGGAGAAGGGGTGACCTGATTTTTATTTAGTCAGGAGGGTTCAGTGTGCTCTTGTTGGCAGTGAACTCGAAGATGTACCCAGCAGCGACCAGAGGGGTGGCCTCTCTGTGCCTCAGTTTCCTCATTTGTAAAATGGAGATAATACCAGTCCCTCTATCATAGCGTTGTTGAAAGACTTCAACGAGACAGTGATATAAAGCACTTAGTGCCTTGTCATTGTTGTTAGGTGCCATGGAGGCGATTTCAACTCGTAGTGACCCCATGGTGGGGATGGGGGGCTAACCTGTGCCTCTGCTTTTCCATGGTGGTGGTGGTAAGGTCTAACCTGTGCCCTCTCCTTGTCCATGGTGGGGAGGGAGGGCTAACCTGTGCCTCTCCTTTCTCCATGATGAGGAGGCGGGGCTAACCTGTGCCTCTCCTTTTCCATGGTGATGGTGGGGCTGGGGCCCTGGTAGCGCAGTGGTTAAGAGCTCAGCTGCCAACCAAAAGGTCGGCAGTTCAAATCCACCTGCCACTCCTTGGAAACTCTATAGGGCAGTTCTACTCTGTCCTATAGAGTCACTATGAGTCAGAATCGACTCGATAGCAACGGGTTTGGGTATTTTTTGGTGGTGGGGCTAATCTGTGTCCTCTTCTTCTCCATGGGAGGCTTATCTGTGCCCCTTCTTTTCCATGGTGGTGGTGGTGGGGGTCTAACCTGTGCTCTTCTTCTCTTCACGCTTTATGCCCTTGAGCCTCTTAAGCATCCCTCGCAGGTCGGTGATCCCGTGCTGGAACGCAATCCGCTCATACTCGGAGGGGGTCGCCTTCCTCAGGATCTCCCACACATCCTCCTCAGCTGGTGCCTCCAGTTTCGGGTCCCTGGGTCCGACGATGCATGCAGAGAGGCCTCAGGGGAGCCCTATGGTGCGGGCAGGACTGCAGCCCCTCCCCACTTTCCTGGGTGGGGCTTCCTGGGGCCCAGGAGCTGCAGCTGCCCTAATCCTCTGCCCCCTCCCCTCACACCTCCACTGGGGCAGCTTGGACTCAGTATGGGTCCTAGGCCACGTCTGGGCTCAGTATGTGGGGTTGGGGTTGGGGAGGGATTTCCTGGCTGAAGTAGGGGTGACGGGGGTGCCAGGCTCCATTGGGCACTCACCGTGGGATCCGGAAGCTGCTGCTCCAGGTGGGGCAGAAAGGGTAGGGTACACATTAGAGGCCTGGGCCACCTCCCCACAAAGACGTGGGTCCCCACCCCGTGGGCTTCCCCTCCATCCTCTTCCCTGCACTTATGCCCCTACATTGATGATGTGCCTGCGATGTGCCAGGCCCTGGGCAGGACCTCCACAGTGTTGCCCTTTTACCCCTCGTAAGCTCTGCCAGGAGTCCCTGGGTGGCGCAAGTTGTTAAGTGCTGAACTACTAGCCCAAAGTCTGGTGGTTCAAACCCACCCAGAGGCTCCTCAGAAGACAGGCCTGGCCATCTGCTTCCAAAAGGTCACAGCCTTGAAAACCCTACGAAGTGCAGCTCTACTCTGCACACACGGGGTCGCCATGAGTCATCGACTCGACGGCAATTAACAACAACATCAGCAGTGCTAGGCAGGTATTAGGAGAAACTTGAGGCTCAGAGGCTGAGACTCGCCCAGTTAGTGGGACCCTAACTCTCAGACCCTGGAAGGGATGGCTGCAGGCTACCTGAAGGCTCAGCTCTGCACCCACCATCATCCTGCTGCCCCAAAGCCCCCAGACCCCATTTCTTAGTCTCTGTACACCAGCAGCATCCGTGACAACGGAGGGGTCAGGGAACAGGAGGGGAGAAGACAGAGAAAGAACACAAGTCAGCTGGGCTGGGCTGGGTGGGCAACTCCTGTGGCTTTGGGACCCTCTCCCAGGTTCTTTGGGGTCCCCAGAGTCCATGGTGGGCTAGTGTAGACTCAAGTCTACACACAGGGCCGGTGTGAGGATACTGTGAGGATGGTCGTTCACAGGACTGCAGAGCCTTTAATTCCTCCCAACACGGGAATCGGCCCATTAGCCAGACGAGGAAAGAAGCTTAGAGAGGGGCAGTGACCCTCCCAGGGCCACACGGCTGGAGAACGGTGGTACTGGGATTTGAAACCAGGCCTCACACCTGCCAGGAGTCGTGACCCAGGGACTTACCTCTTCCTCAGCAGGGAGCTGAAGTCCAGAGTCCCGGCATCCTCGTGGCCGTCACTGCAGAGAAGACAACCCCCACAGCCACCAGTGAGGTCCCCGTGGAGGGGACATGGCAGAGGGGAGAGGGTGGGGTGAGAGGGAAGCGACACTGGCTGGACTGGGCCTTCTGGCCCATCTCAGACCCCGGGGATCTGTGTACGGGGCAGGTGGGGGTGTGGAAGGGGTACCTGATCCGCCGACCACCTCCAGCCACGCTCCTGTGGGGATTAGACTCAGTGTCCTCATCTGCCCAGAGGAGCTTGCTCTCCTCCTTCCCCCTACATTGCCCCCATCCCTGACCCGAAGGGGCCTCAGAATCTGTCGATGCCCCCTTCCCCAGGTCCTAAGGAGAATCGGTCACTCACGAGCGGCGGAAAGCTGATCGGAGGTCCAGGTCTCCGGGACCAACGGCCTCTAGGTGCAGAAAGGGGGAGGAGACAGGGGAGGAGGCTTCAGAGGGGGCCTGCCCTGGGATCTGAGTATCTGTAAACTGCCCTTCCATGACTTTGAGAGCGGGCATCTGCCCATGGACACACATTCTCAGCCTTTCACAAGGTCAAGGTGCCAGGGCAGTGAGGGAGCGTGAAGCCTCAATTCCCTTACAGGTGGCCGGTCTCCCACTCTCTAGCCCCTCAACTCAGCCTCCACCTGTTTACCAAACATTCGGGTGCACCAGGCCCTGTGCCAGGAGCCAGGGATACCAAGATGACCAAGACAGAGTCCCACCCTAGATGAGATCTGGACTCAGCTGACAGATGCCACCCACTCTCAACCTGAAGCTTCCAGAGGTTTCTTTCATACCCTCGTTGAGCCTGGTGGTGTTGGGCATGTGGTTAGCATTGCTGGCTGAGTAGGGCTACAAGCAACAGTTTTGACTCATGGCAACCCCACGTGCGTCAGAATAGAACTGTGCTCCACTGCCTTTTCGATGGCTGATTTTTTGGAAGTAGATCGCCAGGCCTTTCTTCCAAGGTGCCGCTGGGTGGACTTGAACCTCCAACCTTTCGGTTAGCAGCCAAGCACATTAACCATCTGCACCACCCAGGGACTCCTGGCCGGAGTTAGGCAACTCTTTACTGCTGGGAAATGGAAGCAGGAGTTGGGGGCCAGAACCTCTCACCGTGGACGGTAAGGTTGAAGTTGCAGCTGTCAAACTTGTCCTTGGTGGACACCTCGCAGCGGTAGCCACCGGCAAAAGCAGCCTGGGCATCGGTGATGTGCAGCTCAAACAGGTAGACCTATGGGGATGGGATGGGGGATGGGAGGCGAGAGAGGCCAGCAGAGACCTTGGACTAGGAGATGAGAACCCTCACCTCTGAAGGAGACTGGATGTGAAGAAAGGCCTAGAAAGGGGTCCCAGATTTTCCTATTACCCCTTAGGGCTTTGTTAACTCAAGTAGAGATTTTGTGTAAATTAGGAAAAGGGGCCCTTTCTCAAGACACATGACTGCCACCTGCTGGAACATGGTTGTGATAAAATACAAATCTGTGCCGTTTACAGGCAAAAGGCATTTGCTTCAGATAAGGCACCTTTGTGCAGTGTACAGCCCTCACAACTGAACATGTCACTTCTGCCCTGCCAGAGACCTCCTTGTCCCCCAGGACAGTGTGGAAGAGTGGCAGGAACAGAGGCTGGGAGGCAGAGGCACAGGTTCTAGGCTTGGCTTTCAGTGGCCTTGGGTGAGTGACTTAAGCTTGAGTTTTGGTTTTCTGACTCTTTGTTAGATGTTCATTGCTATCGAGTCAATTCCAACTCGTGGCGACCTCGCGTGTGCAGAGTAGGCCGGCTCCATAGGGTTTTCAAGGCTGTGACCTTTCGGGGAGAAGATCCTAGGCCTGTCTTCCGAGAAGCTTCTGGGTGGGTTCAAGCTGCCAACATTTTGGTTAGTAGAGTGCTAACTGTTTGCACCATCCAGGGACTGTTTAATGAGGAATTGTTCTGGTCGATCCCTGAGGGTCGCTGGAGCTCTGATACCCACTCATCCAGGGGTTCTCACCCTAACTGGCTGGTGCCCCTTCCCCCATTCTTCACCGTGTTTCCCCGCCTATGTGAACTCCCTGGGCCGCCAAACCCATTATGTCCCCGAGACCATCATGCCCCCTGATGCTCTGGCTTCCCAGGCTCCCCATCGCCCTTCCTTGCACCTCTTGGGTGCTTCCCATGCCTCCCGGGGGCTCTCACATGCCCTCTTCATGCTTCCCCCACCCCCGTGCCCCTCAGCCCCCCCATGCCCCCAGGTCCCCACCTTGCTGGCTCGGTCGTAGAGGTCGCGTAGCTGCACATATTGGCCCACCTTGCTACTCAGATCCACCCACTTGCCCTTGAACCATTTGACCACGGGCGGTTTCAAGAGGCTGGCCCCGGCGACACGGGCAGAGAAGGTGATGTTGCCGCCTGCAGGGGAGGGGTGATGACTGGGCTTGGGGGATAACCTGCTGCCTCACTCCCCACCCACCCCTGGGTACAGCAGCCCCACACTTACCTGCGGTTACCTCGCCATCCTGCGGCCGCGTCACAAAGAGACCAATGGGGTCATCAGGAGCGCCAGGGGACACTGGGCCAGGGCCATCGGGGGCTTCTGAGCTTGACCCTGTGAGCAGAGGCCTCTGAGAGCTGCCCTGGGACACCCCCTCCTTGTCAGCCCTGTTCCTCCCTGCCCAGCCCCTGCTCACCTTCAGGCCTTGAGGAGCTTCCTTCCAGCTCAGTGGCTGGGGCCAAGGCTCCAGGCGCTCCAGGGGCTCCAGGGTCCTCAGCAGGGGCTGGGGCAGGAACTGTGGCAGGGGCTGGCTCTGGCTCTCCCTTCTCTGAAGGGAGGAAGGGGTTGTGAAGAGGGACCCCTCCTCCTGTCCCTGGGTCCTTCTCAGTCTTTGCAGGCCCATAAAACACTGTAGCGTGTCCAGAGCTTCGTCCTCTGGACCTCACCCCCCTCCATGGTCCCTTCTGTCCCCTCATTTTACTCACCACCACTGTAAGCGCAAGTACACCCCTCCTCCGTCTCTCCTGAGACTCAGACCTCTACCCATCGCCTGCCAGGCACCTCCCTCAGACAAAGATGCCCAAAACGCAGTTCCTCCTCTTCCCACCACATCTGGTCCTCCTCACCTCCCCAAGGAGCCCTGGTGGTGCAAAGGTTAAGCGCTTGTCTGCTAACCAAAAGGTTGGCAGTTCGAACCCACCCAGCAGCTCCATGGGAGAAAGACCAGGCAAGTTGCTTCTGTAAAGATTACAGCCTAGAAAACCCTGTGGACAGCTCTACTCTATCACATGGAGAGCTGTGAGTCGAAATTGACTTGACAGCACCTAACAACAGCAAGACAACAACAGCCACTCCCCTTCCCCTCTCACAGGAAGCTCATACTGAGCCGGGGAGCCCTCATCATATCTCTCCTCACCCTCACAGACACTGTCCTCACGTCCCCATGGGTCTGCCCTGAACAGCTCTGGATTCCATCCCTCCTCTCCTCCCCCAGGCTGGGCTGGGGCCTCCCTCCACAGCCACAATTGCCCACAGGGCATCCCCTGCAAGGACATATAGCCCGCCCAGTTGTCATCTGTGTGGGAGTTGTCTCTCCGTTGAGTCTCCCGGGGGTGGGGGGCCTGGGGTGCCTTATGTCTCTGTATTCCCCCACCCGGCTGGAGCAGGCAGGAAGGGCACATGGGGTCCTCCAAAGGGTCTTGCTGCAGAAGAGGGAGAAGGGGCCTTCCTGGCAGAGGGCATAGCCAAAGCAAAGGCAAGAATGTGGGAAAGCACCTTCCTCTCCCAGGGCAGATGGAGAGGTGGCCAGGCTGCCCCTCAGGGACAGGCTGACCGGGGTCTTACCTGCCTCTATGACCTTGAGGTCAAACTTGACCTTGGAGGAGCCAGCGATGACTGCGTAGGACCCCTGGTCGGCGGGGCCCACGTCTCGCACCGTCAGCACATGTCGCCTGCCCTCGGCCTCCAGGCTGTACTTGTCGCTGGCACTGATATCACCGCCCCTCCGCTGCCAGCGCACCTTCAGTCCTTCCCGCTCTGTCTCCGCCTCGAACGTGACAGAGCTGCCCACAGCCGCTTCCACTGACCGTGGCTTCTTGCTGAAGGCTGAAACTGAGGGGCCAGACCAAGGCTGCAGGCCCCCCCAGGCTCACCCGTGCACCTGTCCCCTGCAGCCCCTCTTGTCAACATTGTGACAAGCACTTTAATTCATTGTCTCATTTAATGCTCCAGCAGCTCTACAAAGTAGGTGTAGTTATGTCCATTTCTCAGATGCAGATACCGAGGCTCAGAAATGCTAAGTGACTTGCCCAAGATCACACAGCCAGTAGGTGGGAGAGCTAGGGCTATGGTCCCAGCCTCCACACAAGACTATTGTTTCATGTGTCCCCTGGATACCCTGCCTTCCCTGCTTGGGGACACCGGGCATGAGCCCTGGCCTCTTGCATCCCATTAATCTGGGGCTCTTGGCAGGGGCCATGTACTCTGCCTACTTGGAATGTGGTTAAATTTGTCCTTCAAGAGCCTCAGGCTGAAAATCAGCAACTGAGATAAAGCTGGCCTCAGAAGAGGCTGGGGCAGGGGGGTTGGGATTCTGCCCTGGGCGACCTTGGTGAGGGCACAGGCAAGGAGCAGGACCCTGGGCTGTGACCTTCTCTGCCCTTGGCCTGGGCTCTGGGGCCTCTTGACCATCCTCTCCCAGAGCAGAGGGGCCACAGTGCCTGGTATGGGGACCACAGGGGTGCAGATCACGAAGCAGGAAATCTCAGAGCTGAAAGGATTCTTAGGGACACTGGGTCCAACCCCTCCTTGTACAGATGGGGAAACTGAGAGCCAGAGACGGTAGAGACTTGTCCAAGGGGATTTGGCGAGTCTGGCTCAAGTCTAAACTAAACTTGGGCTCTGCCTGCAGCGGCCTTTTCCCAAAGGGCAAGCCCAGGCCCAACTTTGCTGCAGAAGGGGGAGGACAGGGGGCAGGAAGGGGTCTCTCTGGGTCCTGGGAGTGGGATAATGGCGCTGGGTGTTTCCTGCCTCAACGCTCTCCTCTCTCTGTGTCCCTGACCCTGGGTTTACCCTTATTCTCATCAGAGGGATGACGAAGGAGAAACTGAGAATCAAAAAAGGACCCAGGAGGACCCTCCCCTCTGTCCAGGGGCACAGAGACCTTGTCCTCACCAACCCCTCAGGAACTAGCTCCTACGTCTGCTCCCCAAGTGTGGTGTCTCCCCGCTCCCCCCGCCACCCCCCACCGCCAATCCCTCCCTACCCTCACACTCAAGCCCGACCAGAAACCTGGAGCTACCTGGTTTCTTCCCGGGCTCTGGCATCTTGAGAGAAGTCAAACCAGGCACCAAGCAGGTACAGTCTGAGAGACTGAGTGGGGACCAGGGCCCCGCACTATATAAGGGTCCCTCCCCCTCACTAGGCCCTCCTTATCTGCCTCCTGCCCAGCCACCGGCTAAATATAGACAAATTCCAGGGAGCTGAGGTCTCTTCGTGGGAAGAAGGTGAGGGCCACATTGTTCCTGGCTGGCCCCTGTCCCTTCCTCCCTCCCTAAGCACAAATATGATGGCTTCTGCTCCCCAATCCTCAGTGAACCTCAAGGGTGTCCCAAGCCCTGTCTGTATGTCTTCTAACAGGCAAACTGTGTGGTGGAAGAGTACAGGGCCTTATCCTTGAGGACGATGGCTCAAATGCATCCTTTGCCGGACAACTTTCTGGGCAGTGAAGGACCGTGAGGGACAGTGAGAGGCAGTGAGGGGCCATGAGAGGCAGTGAGGGACCATGAGGGGCCGTGAGGGGCAGTGAGGGGCCGTGAGTAGCATTGAGGGGCAGTGAGGGGCCATGAGGGGCAGTGAGGGGATGGGAGGGGCATTGAGGGGCCATGAGGGACAGTGAGAGGCAGTGAGGGTCCATGAGTGGCATTGAGGGGCAGTGAGGGGCCATAAGGGGCAGTGAGGGGCAATGAGGGGCCATGAGGAGCAGTGAGGGGCCGTGTGGGGCAATAAGGGACCATGTGGGAGGTGTTGGGGGGCCTTGCAGGGCCGTAACCACGCACACAGACCCCAGGGTGGGGCTGCCTGAGTCCTGGCTCTGCCATTCCCTGAACTTTGCAGTGCCTCAGTTTTCTCATCTGTTAAGTGGTGCTGGTAAGAACAGCACCCACTGCATAGGATTGTTACACATGTTTACAAATGAGAATGCTTAGAGCTGCGCCTGGCGTATAGGAAATGCTGAATGAATGTTTCTGTTATTATTTGGCCCATGTTTTCACAGCTTATGGGGCCTGGGCAGCCTCAGGCTGTGGAATCCTGGGTCTGCTTATTCCAGGGCCAGGTGGGGAGGGGGCAACATTTGTGGCTGGCATCACCCAAGGGGAAGGGTTAGGTGAGCTTGCAGTAAGGGCATGAGGGTGAATCTCTAAATCCACCCCACAGTGGAAGACAGAGGAGAGGGGGCTCTTGCAAAAGTCCCAGAGATTAATGCTAGATGTCTTGAACCCCCTCGTGCCCCTCCACTGTTCCTCTGTGACCTTTTGCCCCTGTGATAGGACCTCCCTCAGTCTGTCACATCAAGGACATTGGTGCTACACAGAAAGAAGCAAATTCCATGTGACCCACTCCCAGCCAGACCTAGTATCCGTCAACATCATTGGTCCCACAGGGAGGAGGGAGGAGTTCTCTACACAGCACTTTCCAAGTGGCCAGAATGCACCGCTGCTTGCAGCACTGAGAGCCATTGTTTCTTCCATCTTAACCACTTTTAAGCCCCACCACATGCTCCTGGGCCTTCTTTAAAAGACGACTTGGGCATCATTTCACCTTTCTTGAGGCTTGGAGGCCAAGGGGAGAGAGCAGCCATGGTTGTGTGGAAGGGTCCTCCAGGGCGAGGCTTGCTGTGGGGGGAGCGGGGGGGGGGCGGGGAGTGGTGTTCCCCTAAGTAATCGGCCTGGGGCTTGGGTCTCTGCAGGCTGACAGTGGTGCGGGCCTCACTCCCAGGATGCCGCAGGCCTCCACTTCTTGTTACTGCTGGAAGTGAGACACTTACAGGCTTCCCTGCTCGTCTTTTTCTATTCCTCCCTGTTGTGGGCTGAGAACTTGAGAGCAAACGTGTGATCATATGTGTGAGCAAATGTGAGCGCATACATGTGGGCAAATGGGTAAACATAGGTGTGAGCACATGTGTGAGCAAACGTGTGAGGAAACATGCATGCAAACATGAGAGTACATGTGAGCATGCATGTGAATATGTGTGAGCAAGCACGTGAACACTGAGCATGAGTATGCATGTGAACAGACATGTGAGCAAACTGTGAACACGTGAGCATACGTGTGAGTAAGCATGTCAGCAAATGTGCCAACATACATGTGAGTGTGGTAAGGCAAGCGCGTGACACCATGAGGCTACACACGAGGGATTTGCCTGTGTCTACTGTCTTCCTGGGCATTGATTTTGTGAGAATGCTTTGTGGCCGAATGGAGGCCTTCAGTGCTTAATTCCTGAGCCTCGGCATGATAAGTGTCCTGCTCTGGGTAAGGGAAGGCTGATAAGTAAAGCTTCCTCTCTGAGGGGGTAGCCCACCAACGGGGCAGCAATAGCCCTGGATTGGCATCCACTCACCAGCTATGTGACCTTGGACCTTATTTGACCTCTACGAGCCTCAGTAAAATGGGGGTGATAATCAGATTCCACCTCTAAAGGTTGGTATATAATAAATGACCAGAAAATTCAGAGTTGTTGCTATTATTATTATCATTGGGCTTGTAACCTAAAGATTATGCGTTCAAACCCCACTGAGGCTTAAAAAAAAAATTGTCAGGTGCAGAGAGCTTTTTAATATAATTTATTCCCTTAATAACAACCGAGGAAGGGTTCTTTCCACCAGACTCTACCTCTGGGTCAGAACTGTGTATCATTTGTCCTCAGGCCCCCAGGATCCAGCACTGGGCACGGTCCTCAGTAAATCCCCAAAGCACAAATGAGAAAAAGAGAGACGTCGCACCCACGACCCAGATGAGGTGCACAAAAATTTTCCAAAGAGAACACTGGGTAAGGTTATACTTTTTTATAAAGACTGTCTGTGCTGCAAGAGGGTTCACTGAGAATAACTTTAATTACTCAGTTTCTTGAGGGGGCAGATGGGTGAAAAGTGTAGGAAGGGGGAGATGCTTAGAAAGGAGGATTCAATTTATACAAATATGATGACTTGGAACTCCCAAGAAAGAACGGCTGATTGTACTAAGCGAGGCTGATCCTTCAGTCGGGTCAAGCGCCCCCCGGTGGCTTTCTGGAGCCGAGGCTGGAGTCCTGGTGGGAGGTGAAGCAGGGGTCTGGGGAGGGGGCTGGCAGGTGGGGAGTGGGCGGGTGAGGCAAGGCCTGGCCCACCACAGTCCTGCCTCTGGCCCCTGGGAGCTTCCCTCCCTGTGTCCGGGCCGGGCGAGGGGTTAATGCTATGGCCGGCGGGGAGGCCTGGCGGGGCCTGGCTGATTCTGCGGCCCCTGGGCTCAGTGGGGCGGGTGGCGCCGCTCGGCCAGGCCCCCGCGGCCCAGCACCTCCCCGCTGAACTGGTAGGTGAGCTTCTTCTTGACCTTCTTGACCTCGCCTGTCTTGCCATAGTTGCGCAGCGCGCGGGCCATTTTCTGATAGGTCATCTTCTTGCGGTTGCCCTTCTGGATGCCCCAGCGGTGCGCCAGCGCCTCCTTGTGCTTGGACGAGAACTGGAAGGTTCCCTTGTCCTTGTCCACCCACCAGATGCTGTCTTTCATGTCGCCACTGCGGAGCAGGTCGAGCAGGAACTGGTACAGGCGGATCTTCTTCTTGCTCCCTGTGAGGGCGAGGGGCCAGGGCGGTGGGACGGGGTCAGGCCCTGACACAGTGATCCACCCCCGTACGTCCCTCATGTGGGACCCCTCTGGGTGGGGACTGAGACCCACCACAACCTCCAGTGTGGGGGGTGGTCACTGGGGAAGGACTGGGGTGGCTAGGAGGGTCTCGGGGAAACCGCTGTCCCACGCCAGGTGCACACACATACGCAGACACATTCACATGCACTCACACACAGCACAGATAGATGCACACACACGCACTCACGCTCATATACAGTCACACACAGCACAGGTAGATGCACACACACACACTCACGCTCATATACAGTCACACACAGCACAGATAGATGCACACACGCATACACTCACACGCTCATATACAGTCACACACAGCACAGAGACGCCACACACACACTCACGTGCTCATATACAGTCACACACAACACAGAGAGATACACACACACACTCACACGCTCATATACAGTCACACACAGCACACAGAGATGCACACACACACACGCTCATATACAGTCACACACAGCACAAAGAGATGCGCACACACACACTCACACGCTCATATACAGTCACACACAGCACAGAGAGATACACACACACACACTCACACGCTCATATACAGTCACACACAGCACAGAGAGATCCATACAACTCACATACATGCACACAGCAAGAGATACAGCACAGAGAGATACACATTCACATACACACACACACAGCAGAGAGGCACACACTCACATACACACATATAATCACATGGTGCAAAGAGGTGCACACACATACACATACACACTCACACTCACACTGCACAGAGGTATACACTCACATAGCACAGAAAGATGCACACACATACAGCACAGAGAGGTACACCCCACATACACACACTCACATACACTCCCACACTGCACAGAGAGGTACACCCCCACATACACACACACTCACATACACTTCCACACTGCACAGAGAGGTACACACTCACATACACACACACTCACGTACACTCACACACTGCACAGAGAGGTACACACTCACATACACACACTCACATACACTCCCACTGCACAGAGAGGTACACACTCACATACACACGCACACACTCACACTGCACGGAGAGATGAACCCACACACAGAGGTCTGTGGCATGACTGTTCGTCAGCCTTGACTGGAGTGGGGATGGCGCACAGATATGGCCCGAGTCAGGGTGGGTCAGGGCTGGGGCTGGGTTTTCTACCTGTTTCCCCATGCAGGAGGCCGGGCCCCGGCTCCAGGCCATCGGCCTCCCCGTCAGACACCTCCAGTGGGGGGCTGTGCCGCTCACCCTCCTCCTCATCCGAGCTGGGCTGGGCCGGGGACAGGGAGGGGTATGGGACGCACATCCGGGGCAGGTAGGAGACCTAGGCAGGTGAGGGGAAGGGAGTTAAGTCAGTAGGAACTTTGGGGTGAGAAAACCCGTGCTGAGGGCTGCAAGTATAGCAGCAGGCAGAAAGATTGGGAGAAGGCTGGGAAAGTTGGGGTCAGTCAGGGTCACCACACACAGATGTGCCGGCCATGCCCTGCACAAGGGCCCTGAGCTGTAGGGGCACGGGATGCTGGACCTCCAGGTTTAGGGCTGCGTGGCCTGGGAAAGCGGTGCCTTTTTCTCATACACACAAAGGTGCTGTATGGCCTAGCAGCAGCCCTGGGGCCAGACATGGGAGTGCCGTGGGGCCAGTGAGTGGAGTACGAGAGTGAATGGGGTTTACTAAGTGGGGTGGTGAGTTGGTGAAGGGGCAGTGGAGGTCAGCAGAGGTCCCTGATTGGGAGGGCGGGCTGTGGGGCTGAGTTGGGTCATTAGAGAGGTCACTGGGGAGAGTGAGAGGCCAGTGGAGGTGAGTGTTCAGACTTGGATGTAAGTGGGGATACAGTCAGTGAGGGTCAGAAGGGCCCACCCACAACAAGGCCGCTGGCGTCTGGAGGACCAGCGTGGGGTGTGGGAATTATCTGGGGTCTGGCCGTCTGAGGGACGAGAGGAGATAAGGGTGGGGGGTCACGAGGTCAGTCAGAGGGTCAGGAGGCAGCCGTTGGGGCTCCTGTCGCCGTTGGCGCTGTGGGGCAGGAAGCTGAGTTGAGTAAGAGCCTGTGTCAGCTTCCTGTGAAGCTCCGGGCCTCACCACAGGCCAGGCGGCTCCTGCAGGATGGGCGCACACACCTGGTGGCCGAGGCTGGCGTGGGGCGGCGCCATGGGGGTGTCGAGGACGTGCATCTGCTCCAGCTCCATGTGTCGGTAGAGTTGCTGCAGCTGCGGGGGCTGCACGCTCTGCAGCTCGGTGAAGTGGTTCTCCGTGAAGCTCTCGAACTCGCTGTGCACGTGGTGGGGGTGGAAGTCCCAGTAATGGTCTGCGGGGGACAGGGAGGCAGTGCGGGGTGAGCCCGTGTGGGCAGGGCAGAAGGTTACAATAAAATAAAATAATAACGCCTGGCCTGTATGTAGCTCTTACCACGTGCCAAGCAGGGTTAAGAGTTTTTATTAATTATCTTGTTCAACGCACATCACTCACTTTGGTAGGTTGTTGTCGTTGTTAGCTGCGGTCGAGTCAATTCCGACTCTTGGCGACCCCCAGCGTGCACAGTAGAACTGACCCACAGGATTTTTGAAAACCCTAGACTGTGACCTTTCAGAGGCAGATTGCCAGGCCTGTCTCCCGAGGTGCTTCTGGGTAGGTTCGAGCCATCAACCTTTCGGCTGGTAGTCGAGTGCTTAACCATTTATGCTACCCAGGGACTTCTTTGTTTACTCCATTTTATAGATGAGGACACTGAGGTTGGAGAGGCTATATAGCACATGCCTCGTCCATGTGGCAAGGATGCAGGCTTTTCAGCCAAAGAGTCTGAAACCCAGCTCTGCCATTTACTTGCTGTGTGGCCTCCGGCACATGTATGGGCCTCTCTGGCCTCGGCTGCCTCACCTGTAAAATGGGGATAGTAGGTATTGTGAGGATACAAATGAGTTCATGTTTTAGAAACTCCTAGCACAGGACCAAGGAGCCCTGGTGGCGCTTGGCTGCTAATCAAAATGTTGGCGGTTCGAATCCAGCCAGTGGCTCTGTGGGAGAAAGACCTTGTGATTTGCTTCCGTAAAGATTACAGCCAAGAAAACCCCATAGCAGTGGCATCACTAGGGGGTTGTAGGGGGTGCGGACCCCACCGGGTGACACTGTCAGAGGGGTGACACCAGAATGACTGTAAAAATATCCCCGTTGTTAGTTATAACAACAAAAACGTTTTTTGTAAGCCCAGCTTACATGTATCAATATACCTACAAGGCTAAAACTCTATGCTAATTTACTTTTCGAAAACCTTGTAGTGCGCTCTGGTCAAAGCTGTCGTTAATACCCAATTACAATGAAGCTTCGAATCACGGGGTTTGGTCTGCATGCAGCTACAAGCCTGCACTGTTATTTTTATTGTTGCTGCCAGTGTTTTTATATTCGCTGATTTTTGTCACATTTTCTGGTGGTTTAGCTACAGTATTGTGGTAATTAGTATTTGTGAACCTATATCAATAACTTTTTTGAGAATGAAGTAGTGATTAAAGGAAAAGAAGGAGTGATATACGGGAATTATGACTTATGAGTAACATTACTACAAAACACATAACTAAGGATTCTGCATGGTCTGGTATGGGGGGAGGTCTGTGGGCCGGGTGACACCGACCCTAGTGATGCCACTGCCCTGTGGAACAGTTCTACTGTGTCACATGAGGAATCAACTCAGCGGCACCCAACAACAATAGCACAGGGCCTGCCAAGTGGGTCCTCAGGGAAAACTGGCTCCTCTCCCCTCCCTGAGCCCTCCCACTGGTTCCTGAGCTGACTGGCTGCCCACGCACACACAGGCTCGTCACATGGGCAAGGTGTGACTGCAGAGTCACAGGGCTGACATTCCTCACATACAACTTGTTCAGGGGCACAGTGCTGCCCCTACAAAGCCATGGCCTTGGGCACCTGCAGCTGTGCTCCAGTGAAGGACCCAAGCCTTTTCTGGAAACTCCCTGTGGGCATGCCTCAGAGTCTGTGGTAGGGGACTAGAGTTTGCGGAACAGCCAAATGCCAGTGGGAGCCGTGTCTTGGGACTAGGGCAGGTCCTCAACATGGTTTCTCTGGACCCCTTTTCCAGGAACAAAAACTGCCACATGACTGAGGACTTCCTGGGTACAATTTGGGGTCTGAAAGAAAGTGTGGTAATCAAGTGACAAGAGGGATTTTCTCCTGTGGCCCAAAAAGGGAGTGTACAGACACGCTAGGCCAGGGTAGCGTCTCTGGGACAAGTGCATAGCCCAGAAGGGGACCACCACCAGCCCCAGGTGAGTGTGTGCAGTGTGTGTGTGTATGTGGTATGTTTGTAGTGTATATGTGAGAGAGTATATGTATGTGTCTGTGTGAGTGTGGGTGTATGTGGGATTTGTGTGTGTGAGTGTCAATGTGTGTAAATGAGTTGAGTGTATATGTGGTGTGTATATGATTTTGTGAGTATGAGTGTGTGTGTGAGAGTATGTGTGGGATGTGTGAGTGTGTGTGTATGTGTCTCCCTTTCCACCCCCCTCCCTCTTTTTCTCTCTGTCTCTGTCTCTCTCACAAACACATACTCAAACGCTTCTGGACTGGATATCAAAGGACTCGTGTTCTAATCCTGGCTCTGTGGTGGATTTGCTGTGAGACTCTGGACAAGACATTTTCTCTCCCTGAGCCTCTGACTCCCCCTGTAAAAGTTGGGGACGCAACAGGGTAGCTACTGAGGTCTCATCTGCGCGTGAAATCATTTGACCCCACGATCCATGCAGCCCAGGCTCCCACCTCTATGAGGCACACGGTATAGAGGGAAGAGAATACATCATTTGGGAGTCAGCCAGAGCTGGGACCAAATCCTGGCTCTGCCATTTACCACCGTGTGAGACTGGGCAGTTCATTCCATTTGTCTAGGCCTCAGTTTCCTCATCTGTAAGATGGGCCTAATAATTACACCCATCTCATAGGCTTACTGTGAGGATTAAATGACTAATGCATGCAAAGTGCTTCGAATAGAAACTGGCACAAAGTAAAAGTCAATAAATGCCAACCATCGTCATCATCATCATTATTATTATTAATATTTTATTCTCAAATGTCTGGCTTAGCACACGAGCATACAGCAGACATTTGACATTTGTTTATTTCTTCCCCTTCCCACCTCATTCCCTGACACCCATAGGGAAGTAGTTTTAGGGGACCAGCCTGTCCCTTTCTTCCAAAGGCTGGAGTTGGGGCCCCAGTATTGCACCATGAGGACAGGGACTGGTTGTGTTCACCTCTGTATTCTCAGTGGAGTCTCTGGGTGGTGCAGTTAAGTGCTTGACTACTAACAGAAAGACTGGCAGTTCTAACCCACCCAGAGGTGCCTTGGAAGAAAGGCCTGGTGATCTGCTTCTGAAAGGTTACAGCCTTCAAAACCCTATGGAGCACAGTTCTACTCTGCACACGTGGGGTCACCATGAGTCAGAATAGACTCCATGGCAACTGGTTTGTTTTTTTGTTCGTTTGTTTGGTATTCTCAGTGCCTAGACCCAGTAGGTGCTCAACAAACATGTTCTGAATGAATGAATGAATCCTAGCCTCCTAAGGAATCTCCCTGACTCTTCTCCATGAAATTATTTAAATCTGAAGGGAAACAACACAAAAATCAGTGCATACATTTATCTTGCAGTGAGTTAACAGTGGGAGAGTTTGCTCTGTCCTTTAAAGTGGGTCATGTTCTGGGGCTCTGGGATTTGGTGAGTGGATCCAGGTTCCTCTTTAGCTGTGGACCCTTGCTCCGGCCCTACCCCTGACTTTTCCCATTTTTCTCTTCTCCAGCCCTGGTGGTGTAGTGGTTAAGAGCTCGGCTGTTAACCAAAAGGTCAGCGGTTCAAATCCACCAGCCGCTCCTTGGAGACCCTATGGGACAGTTCTACTCTGTCCTGTAGGGTCACTATGAGTCAGAATAGACTCCATGGCAGTGGGTTTGGTTTGGTTTTTTGGTCCCAGGCTGAAGTACCCAGATCCTCATAGAATACCTTACCAACCCTGCCCACCAATCCCCCATCCCCAAACCCACCTAGCTCCAGGGTTAGATGGGCAGCTCTCCAGATGTGGGGTGAGGGGGTCCCCAATTGCTGTCTTTCCCACCCCACCCCCACCTCTGTTCTAGCTTCACATCTGGCCCATAAGCTCACTCTGGTGGTCCCAACTGAGGCCAGCATTTCTCAAAGTGTGTCCGAGGACACCTTCACCACAGTCACTTTGGGGTTGGACAGGCCTGCAGATTTGAGGTCCCAAGGGAGACCCACTGGGTCAGAAGCTCTGAAGGTGGAGCCGGGAATCTGCATTTAACAGTCCCCTGAGGAGATTTGTTCACGCAGTGACACTCTGGAACCCTGCCCTGGGGTCCCCTGAAAGCTGCAACAGAGACTCCTAAGCTGCGATTAATGTTTCAAAAGGCCCAACGGAAACCTTGCCTTTACCCTTGATTTGGGTACTCAGGCAATTACATAATAAATGCTGCCTGTCTGGTAGCAGAAAGGTTCCAAATATGGGGCCGTCTGGGGAAACAGTGTAAGAGTCCTATGCAGTACAAAGGCCAGCACTCCTGGGCTCTTCAGACCTCATTTCTGGATGACTCTTCATGAATGCGTTGCCTTATCCCTTTTTGTCCCTTTACTGGGCCACCCATGCCATCAGCTATTTATGTCCCCTTAGCATGACTTTCTGCTCCTCAAAAGAATATAATGTCATTTGCATATCCGGAGATAGCTCTGAGCCCTCCTTTCTGTATCCTCTTAGGCATCCAGCACATAGTAGGCCTCAGTCAATATTTGATGAAACAACCAATGAAAGTTATTTTTAGTGTGTGTTTTATGTACCAGACACTGTGCTAAGTACTCAGTCCACATTGTCTCTCTCAATCCTCACCACAGCTCTGAGGAAGCAGCCACTATAGCATGACCTTTCTTTTGTGCATGAAGAAACTATGACTCAAAGAGGCTAAGTTCCTTATCCACAGGCAGTCATTGGTAGAATCAGGATCAAAACCTACTTCTGTCTAACGCCAGGTACTGAACCCTTATCACTATACCATAGCATCTCTGAGGAATGACACTATTAATGAAAACTTTAAGTAAGACCTGTAGAGAGAGAGACGTGGTCACTGACTGTTCTTATCCACGTCTGTCCACCATCATCCACCCATCCACCATCTACCCATCATCCATCCATCCTCCATCTATCCATCCATCCACCTGTCATTCACCATTCATCATCATCCATCATTATCCATCATTCATCTATCCATCCATCCACCATCCAGCCATCATCCACCATCCAGCC